CTGTCGTTAGATAAGGGGTCTGTCTTCTGGACTGGCGGGAAGGTGGGACACTTGTTGATGTCGAGGTTTCGTCCGTTTCTGCCCAAGCACTCGGCCGAGAACGCGCTCGTCCGTCGACTCGTCATGATTGTACGTAACAAAGCTGTGCGAGTACGAAGCCGAATGGATCTGGTGAGATCAAAGTTCATTCGTGGTGTATCCGTATGAATCGGGTCAGGTACGGAACAGGTAGGGTGTGATGAGGTCAAAGTTGAGAGCGCAGAGCCCGAGAAGAATGCGACAACATGGCGGATGAAAAAGCGAATAAACATTGGAGGCGCATGCGCGGCCTGCCGGAAGTTTAGAAGTACGTGATGCACCCTTAACACATATGAAATTTGGCACCCGAAATCGAACAATTAAAATGTACGCAGATGCTAAGAATAAACAATGACGATATGCATAGGTGAAACATGTAAGTATGTTTTTTAGGAGAAACCTATAATTGTGAGGGTACATCATGTAGCTGAGATGGACAATGGACGCAAACAAGTTAAAGAACGAAAGCATGTAGGTACACGTGGGCGTGAATAAAAAATGGTAACGGGAAGTAATTATGCGTAGATGAATCAACCAACACAACAAAGAACACGGGGGTGGGCCAGAAGAGAATTAGAGCAACATTTATAGCGTAACGATTGATGAAAGAAACCGCCGGGAATGTAGTAAATGGATGTATGTCCGGGGCTGTCATTTCTGCACAAACAAAAATAATAAATTTACATTTAATTAACTGTTTTCTTAAGTTTTCCGTAGTGAGTACTGATAAATATATTTCTGGTTGAAGTAAAGTCTTGAAAGTTTTGTAATATTCATAACGTGAACTATCCTCTAAAGTGGAGCGCCAATCTTGGTAAAACATATTTATAGACCGATTCCGAAATTCATTAAGAAACATATTTACATTTCCAACTGAGTGGCATAGCCATATAAAACCAAAACCATTCGAAAATAAAAGATTTCTTCTATGCGATGTCCAAGTATTCTTTCCCATGTTATCTAAAGCTAGAAGCATGTTATAAGCTAATTTGGGGAGACGTTGTTCATGCATATGAAAGATTTTAAACCAGTATTTTAAACATCTGATCTGAGAGTTAATATATAATGGGTATCTACCACATTCACCATAAACCATGCAATTTGGTGTAGAAGAACCGACACAAAGAAACGTTTTACATGCAAGTGAATCTTCTCTAAACAGTCATAACGTTGAGATCCCCATACTTCAGAACCATACAATAAAATTGGTTGTATCTGGGTATCAAAAAGCTTAAAGAAGATATTAGGTGATATCGATCCAACTTTATGGCAGTAGACATTACACTTTTTAAAGCTTTCTTTGCACGCAAGGACAAGTCAAGGGCACATTTTTTTCCAATTCATAGTGTGTGAGAACCAGATTCCTAAATATGAGTAGTGATCTACTATATTGACTAACTGACCATCGAATGACCATCTCTCTTTCGACGCTATTGGACCACCTTTTCTGAAGATCACAATTTTAGTTTTTTCCAAATTTACTGATAATTTCTATTCTTTCGTGTATGTACTTAAAATAATTAATTGCCTTTGTAGACCAACAACAGTATCTGACACTAGAATGACATCATCTGCGAAAAGTAACATTAATATTTCTATCAAAACATTTGGATACCATGTTTACCACTGGCAGCTATTTCGTAATATAAATCATTAATGAAAAATGAAAATAAGATCGGACTCAAAATACAGCTTTGTCTTAGGCCTAAAGGACAATCAAAGAAATCTGTTAAACTATCCCCACAACGAACACATGATCTCACATTAGAATACATTGATTTCAGAATAGTAAACATTTTCCCACGTAAACCAGCTTTTCGTAGACATGTCCATAGCTTAAAGCGATTAACAGAATCAAAACCCTTTAAAAATCTACAAATGCTACATACAGTTTATGCTTACGCCATGACAAGGTTTTTTGAATAAGTGCATAAAGTGTAAATACATGATCTACGGTGGAATAACTTTTTCTGAAGCCAGCTTGAAATTCAGGAATCTTATCACGCATGGTCGCCCATTTAGAAATTATATTGTTTAATATTGTAGTAAATACGTTTCCTAAAATATTTTCCCACACATCAGATCGCCTTGCGACATGGGAACGTTAAACCAGTGCCGTGGAGCGATGTATGAGCTATTTTACGCAGCGGGAAGCATTAACGTATCACGATTGCAAACGCAGCGCCCAGCTAAGTATAACGGTTAATTGGTAAACAAAAAAATAGGCATTCACAATTCTTAGTATTCAAACATTTTCGAAAGTAATTCTTGTGAAAACAGACTACTTTTTTTCCGTGATATGTTTGTTTTCCATTGTTTTATATTTGATATAGTTCAATCATGTTCTCATTCCATATTCTGAAGACACAACATGAAAATTACAATTTGTTTTACCTTAATGGCTGACAAATGCCATATTCCCGAGGCAACGGTGTTAACTGACTATAAAAATCCAGTGGAAGCTGAACTCTTACGGTGTGTTGAAGATGACAAATGTGCGCAGGGTCTTTATTTGACTCTCGCCCTTCACATTTACGATACATTGTACAATAAAAGAAACACGTGCACATAACTCTTTTTGTCATAATAAAAAATACAACTACACTATTTCAAAATGAAAAGTATTTCATCCAGTCATTCTGGTAGATATACAACTTCCTGAGTATTTTACATACGCGTCATTAACTATAATGTGTGTGTCAGGGGTGGGGGGTGGTGAATATAGTTTTGAGCCGCGATCGCAATGTACACCAGAAATGTGATTCATGCACTGTACCCATGTCAGGAATCGAACCCGGGTCTTCCACTGCCCCATCGCCCCACACTGTGGAAGAAAGGGTGCAATTAACATTTCTGAAAATTTATTGCCGACATTTATTGTGAATAGGTACTACATGTAGTATGTAAGCGTACAGTAGTCCTATTGGTTGGACATCACTTTTTAACAGTTTGAATATGGGCAATTCTTAGAACAAATAAAACTTTAAAATATTTTGACTGGATATAATCAACTGCCGGACGAATGAAAGTATACTCACATGTGTGATCGTTGCTAAAATGAAACAAACACGAAATGGATACTCGATGGTGATGTATTTGATATGGGTATCGTAGGTGATATTACAATTAAACTATTAACGAGTATATCAAAAGGAATATGGGGTCGTAACTTCACAGTACACAGTTATGAGCAGAGTGGTGCAGGTATTTTCAAGCACACACTTTCTTTTGCCTGGCATTTAAGAAGCAGCAATCCATGCTTGGGTAAAAGGCGACTAACGGGGTCGGGTGGTCAGGCTCGTTGAAATGGTTGATACATGTCATCGATCCAAATTGCGTAGATCGATACTCATGATGTTAAACACTAGATTGTCTGGTCCAGAATCGATTATTTACAGGCCGTCATATAGCTGGAATATTGCTGAGTGCGCGTTCAACAACAAACAAACAACATTCAAGAAAGGGTCGTTCATACGTCACGATCATTTCTTGGTGATTGTAGGCCGCCTCTTTCAAATGCAGTTTCGCTAGAACACACCAACCTGTATGCACGTTGCTCCTGTGAGTCAGCAATCCCAACTATATCCTGCATTCAAGAAACTATTGGTTGAAGGAAGAAGGATTAGCCATCAATCCACAGCATTATTCAGTCAGCATCCAATGTCAAACTTAATTGGGATTTCCTGATTCATCAGCTTTTGTGACAATCGTGTTGATGTGTTGATCTTTCTTTTGAATGAGAGTAGAAATAATAATAATAATAATAATAATAATAATAATAATAATAATAATGTGCACTTATAATGTGCTAGCCTCCATGTAGAGTTCTTGCTCAAAGCGCCACATACAAATGTCACTCTGGAAAGCTTTTATGAACGAATGTGTCTTTTGTTTTCTTTGAACAACTGAATAGGGTTTAAGTGTAGTCCAAGATTATAGCACTTAAAACCAGGTGCATGCACATGTGTGTGTGTGGCTGCTTGTACTAGTCTGAACTAATGCCGATTTTGTAGTGCTAGCACACTAAGATACCATGCTGCCGTTTAACATGAATACCCCACTCAGACACAGTATACTGACTCCAAGCCGACCAGCCCTTGTTTTAGCTCCTTCATCTAATGTATATAACTCCACACAAGAGTACAGCAGTCCCTAAGATGACTGTGCCAACTGACCCGTGGTGAGGTGAGGTGAAATTGGGTTTAGCGTCGCATCCAAGATTGTTGCACTTATATAGTGTGTGTGTGGCTGCTTGTTCTAGTCCAGGCTAATGCTGATTTATAGTGCTAGCACACTGAGATAGCATGCTGCAGTTTAACATGAATACCCCACTCAGACAGTATACTGACTCCGAGCCGACCAGTCCTTGTTTTAGCCCCTTAATGCCGAGCGCCAGACAGGGTAACAACAAGTACCATCTTTTAACGTCTTTAGGTATGACGCGGGCGGGGATTGAACCCCGGACCCTCTGCTGTCCAGGCGCCCCGCAGACGCTCTACCACTAGACCACGGAGGCGGTCAACTGACTTAATAAGATATGGGGTAGAATAGGTCTTCAGCAAGCCATGCTTGCCATAAAAGGCAACTATGCTTTCGTAAGAGGTGACTAATGGAATCGGGTGGTCAGGCTCGCTGCCTTGGTTCATGCATGTCATCGATCCCAATTGTGTGGATCGATGCTCATGATATCAATCACTGGATTGTCTGGCCCAGACTCGATTATTTACAGACCACCATCATATGGCTTGAATATTGCTGAGTGCGGCGTAAAACAACAAGCCAAGCCAACAACAGGGCAAATCTGGATTTGAAACCCATTTTCACAGGTTTCGTCCAAGGGACATAACTCTACATAGCAAATTGCTCACCTTACATGCCTTGATCACCATGCCCTCACAAGATGAACACAAAAACACAAAATATTTTGTAGGTAACGTCTTTTTTATTTCTGTTGAACTTTATAGCTCTGCATCAATAACATAGAAATACGTAGACTATTAGGCAATACATGATCAGTGTATATATACAATGTATAAAACAATGTTTCTATTTACAAACACATTAATATCCTTCTGGCATTGAGAGGTGAGTATCCTTCCTGTAGTTTACGACTTAGCTCTGCTGTATATTCAAAATAAATAGGTTCTTAATACAGATTCCCATATCTCAGAATGATGATGAAAGATAACATATATGATATACTTTCACCAAAACCATTTTCACAAAATGATACATTTCATCCTTTACTTGACTGATATTTCAATGAATGATGAAATGGAATAAACTTGCCTACTAGATCTTATAAATATGATTCATAAATAATATCTATGAGACAGATTAATTTGAGATATTACATTATCAACAATGAGAACAGTATCATATACATGTGGGGAGATAGGTAGGCATAGAAATCATTGATAAATCAAATACTACAATCAGCAGATTAACAAAATTTGATTCTAAGCAATTATTTTTTTACTTTTAAAAGTAAATATGTTTAAACACATGCAATCAAAATATAAATAATATATCATTAATATGAAAATGAATTAAACACTAAAACGAGTTAAATGTATAACATTCCCTTGACTTTTCACTAATTTAATCTGAAACAATATGAAAATGCAATTACAAGCAATGATCCGGATATTATATTTCTGATATTTCAAAGAAATATTTCCATCTTTGTATGTCTGATTTAAAGCCAAAATAACAATTCTTGAAAAAATAATTACACTTCAGAGTGTTGAAAAAAATATACCTGGCATAAAAAATACATCGTTGCAAGATATTTAAAAAATTACAAAATCCCAGGCCCCTAAATGAAACATTTAATGAGTTCTACATGAACATAAAACTGAAACATGAAACTATCTTTTCACAATGACAGCTTCAGGAACAGTTTCTGAGATTTTGTCCATCAGGAGATATTTGTTCAAAATAAAAACAAGCTGGGCCATATGTACTGGAATGACGTACATATATTGCACAAGCAGGTATACCTTCCCATCTGACCAAGCATGAATATATGGCAGTTTTCATTGTTGGGATGTTAGATATATTTACAAGAGTTTCAATACATACTGGGTAATGCTGTATAGACCAACTAAACTGTTATGCCTTTAAGTTACATTAATTTTATCGACTGTACTCTTGGATTCTTAAAGATGATGTTTTCCTTTTTTTTAATATGTTATGGGTAGGTTGTGGAATGTATTGTACTTATGAACATCAACCAAGAGGATCTGTACATGTACATAAGTAGTAAAATATTTACCATTAAAAACTGATATTTAAAGTCACTTTTAATTAGGTATGGAAATACAGAACAAGCTGAGATATGAACATCTGCTCAGCCTATTACAGTTATAGGTTTTTCAATACAAATAGAATTAATATTTTGTCCTGTATATCTGGATGAATATGTTCCTATCTGTGAGTTAAAAGTCTACATCACATCGGAAATATTTCAGCCAAATGTAACAGTACCAAATTGTGATTGGTAACATCTTCACAGACCAATGCTATAACTGACTGTTCAATATATTTCAAACTTTGGACATTTTAATGAAATAAAATTCTGATTTATTTATTCTCTTTAACTGTGTGTCAAAAATAGTCTTTCAGAAAATGTATACACATACATTAACATGCAGACAAATACACTATAAATAACATCTAGAAATTAACCTTTTTTATGGGAAAAGCATTTATATTGCTTAAAAAGTTTTGAAATTATCTTGCATTAACAGAAAATTATAATCCCGTTGTAAGTCAACATTTGACTCCATTGGTAATGTACTGCAATCTTTCTCAGGGTTTCTTTCAGACAGTAGCACTTAATATAAAAACATACATTTGCTGATGAGCAAGGAAACTGTATTCAAATTACAGTACTTGATACTAACTACAGTATTCAGTAATATCTCAAGCTTAATGCTGAACAAATGACTTGTCACCTTACGTGATCAATCAGTTTTTCCAAGGCAACATCATCACAGATTAAAAAAATTGGCATCACATATGATTAATAATTGATTAAAATGCAAGAACAATGCAATTAATTGTTTTACAATACCTGAAAAAAATAACAACCAAAGGCTGGAGGGGGAATTTGTATTCACTTTTGGAAATAAAGAAACAAATCATAATTTCAATTAAATTAATTTTTTACTACACTGCACTCATGTCGGTATTATTTTTATGTATAGTATAAACCCACATTTGGGGGACGGGGGGTGGGGGGTGGGGGGTGGAGTAAAGTTTTTGCTGGAGCAAGTTGGGGACAACAAACATTGTCCAAATGTAACTGCAAATTTTGAGACAAGTGACCATCCACAATGACTTACTGTTGAATCTTCTTATCAATTATGCCAAAATGTGACCGGGGAATATGTAATACAAGTAACTAAATTGGGCCTTAGGCTGAAAAATGGACAATGTCCTAAGACAATAGCCTTTGTATAAATGCTGTGGGAGTGACAAGTGGTGAGTGAGTTTATTTTACTGTGATGATTGTCCAGTGCGAAGTTTTCCCTTAGCTGAAATAAGATGCTTAATGCAAATGTTTTTTTAATGTGAGAACCCAAAATGTCTTAGCATATTTAAATCTGTTTTGCCATCATCACATAATCAAAAATGAATTCCAGCAGAACACTAGGTATTCATTCTTTCTTCATGTGGGAACAATCACAAAATTGTTATTGTATAAAAATATTTTGATTTTTGATGAGTTTGAGTATATACACTTAAAATGCAAAAGCATATATACATACACAGATATTACAAAAGCCACTTATATTGCAACTTTGAAATATTCAAATTAATGTAGTTACAAATTCACACATGGAATGTAATTGATATAATAATTATAAACAAAGTAATTTGAAAGCTGAGATATGATTGAACAGAAACATTTTCTGTATACGCACGAACACATTGCAGCAAGACAAAAATGTAAAACCTCAGATCTCTTTTGTTCTCCATTGCACAAGAACTTTTCAGACAGTACTTACATCCACTTAAAACTAAGTGTAACAACTGCATGTCATGAGTGATAATGATTCACAAATGTTTGTCGCACTTCACAAAATCCATAGTGTGGTTGTTTGTAATGAAAATCTCTCATACATCTACCACCAGATCAACTGGAATTGTGTATGACAAATATTTCATGAACAAATGATACAATCATGATGTTCTTATGTGAAACACAGTCAGATACCCTGATAAGATAACCACACTAAAGAACAGAAAGACCATTTCTATTCATGACCTTTGAGGTGATCTTCACAGAGGCAAAGTCAATGTCTGCTGATTTCATGAACCCATCGTTTTAATTTTTCCAAATAAAATTGAAATCTAAGGATGAGGCATTGATCTTCCCAACACAAGATTCTTCTGATCCATGAGTAGAAAAATGACTACAAGCACCGCCTGTCATGTCAACAGTCAGCCTCCTGCACCATCTCAGGAAAGTCCTCAGAAACAGTTTCATCAGAGGTGCTCCCAAAAAGGATTCTCTTTTCCCAGAATGCTGCTCTGGCTGATATGGCACCACTGCGGATTTTGGGTGTCTTTGGTCTTTCAGTGGCAGAGGTATCAGGTCCTGGCGAAGTGGCTCTCAAGACCACAAGCTCCTGTTCATGATCTGCTCTTTGGGGCACTGGCGTTGCACTTCTGGCTCCAGTTCTAGGTGATGCTGAGGCACGAGGACTGGCAGAGTCAGATGTGAAGGAAGAGGCTGACACAGGAAGCTGTGACTGTGTAGTCATGGAGATGGTGGAATGGGATATGTTTTGGGAGGAGGGGGATGGTTCTGGGAAGATCAGAACCGGTTCCTTTCCTGGTTCCAAATCTTTGTAGGTGGCTGGTAGAGAAAGATCTGGAGATCTGGCTGAATGGGAAGTTGAAGGAGGGCTGACTATTTTATTGGCTTTATGTGTTTCACGCTTTGGAGCTTCAAATGTGAAGTTCATTGAGGAGGAGCTAGTTTCAAAAAGAGATTGGTCAGGGGAGTAGTTGCAATCATCCAACTGAGCTGGCACTGAAGATCCAAGCTCTGTCCTTCTTAGTCTCTCCAACTGTTCTTTGGGAACATGTCGAGCAGTGATGCTGTGAATCTAGGGAAACAAAGAAGTTTTTGGTTACAATTTACATCATTTATTGAATTACAGCAAACACGTTCTAAAATATGAGTCCTTACATGTACTTGAAATACTGGTATAAAAGTACCACACAACTGATACTTGTTGAAGAAGAAACTAAAAGATCATTCAGTTACAAGTTTTTGAAAGGCATGTAGAAGTGATACACATAAAGAAGAGAATTCATGTATGTCAACTTCTTTATTATGAGGATCACAACATTTCGGAGTATATGCTAACTCCTTCATCAGGTGAATAAAGGAGTAAGCATATACTCCAAAACGTTATGTTCCTCATAATAAAGAAGTTACATCCATTAATTTTCTTCCTCTATTACAGTGATAATACCTCCTATTTTCTAACTTTGTAAACGAGTGACCATGAAACATGAAATCCTGTAGATATATCACTATCAAAGGTATATGAACATATACAAAGGTGCATCTTTACTAAAAGTATAGAAAATTGGTACAAAACCTGAAAACTTGAAAACCTTTACCAAAGATTTCAAACTCTAAACTAAAATCTTAATTACCAGACACAAAAAATGAAAAACATTAACATTCATTTTTCAAATGGGTTATTGAATTAATCAAAGTATTACACCTAATTAATCAGTGAAAGGGTTCTATTGTGAACCATTTATAAGGACTGAAATAATTTCTTTCAATAATTGCATGTTACAGTTATAAAAGCTTCATTTAAGCTTCAAATTTACAAAAGTTGCTGATGTTCTGTAGGAATGGATTTTGTTGGATTTTCAGCAATAGGTCAACATGGGCTGTAGTCAAACTAGCAATATCAAGCTGCAGCAGGTGAACCTAAGCTTAAGTAACACAGTTGTGCAATGCTACTCAGACTGATCCTCCCTCTTCAAGATTGAAGTCAGCTTCAGTGAGTGAGTGAGTGAGTGTGTTGGGTTTAATGCCGCTTTTAACAGTATTCTAGTTATGTCGTGGCGTGTCAGCTTAATGTGGGAGGAATGCCCGAAGTGATGCAGGTCTCACTTTGGTGAAACCTACAAGCACGGGTATAGTGCTGACAAACCTAGAAACATAATCGGGGTGAACCGGGATTCGAACCCACAATCATAGTTTTCTGGCATGACCAAGGGACACAACTCTGCACAGTGAATCGCAGCGCCTTAGACGACTGGGCCACCCGTGCCCCCTTAGCTTCAGTAAATGAGTGAGTAGAGTTTTACATCACTTTCATAATATTCCAGCAACATCATGGCAAGGGACACCAGAAACGGGCTTCTCACATTGTACCCATGTCAGGAATCAAACCCATGTCTTCGGTGTGATGAGCCAACGCTTTAACCACCAGGCTACCCCACCGACTGTTGCAAGCAGCACATGAGACTGGAGTTTGATTCTGTCTTTGACTCCCAAAAGGGATGGAAACAGGGAATGGTATATTTTCACAATCGCTGAGATTGTTTGTTGCCGTGAAGTGTTAATGCAATGCGTATATGAAAGGCAGATACAAGTTTTAAAAATGAGAAATGTAAACTAAAATATCCTTAAAAGTACTTTGAGTCAGAGAATTTTCAATTTTGTAAACTTCTTTCACATGCATTTCTATAAGAAAAACTATAAGATAAATTTACGAGATATAGTCTTACTGAGCGAATATATATTTGAAAAAATACAAAATAAACTTCCAACACAGTAAAATATTAAGAAATTTGAATTCTTTCTAATTCCTTCCAAAAATACTAACTACCTCAATCTTTAAACTGTTGTAAGAAAAATATAAAAAATGATAGAAAAACAAGAATGATTGGATTTACCTTTGTCAAATCATTCAGCATTTCTGTATATGAGATACACATACGTATGTACAGCGACTGCCTTATGGACATGTGTTTACAACAAATAACTGAATCATCATTTTCTTCACAGAGTAAAGCAATATAAGCTGTGAGTAAAGCTGTTAGGCTGTAGATCACACATTTGTGTTACTATCTCCTTAAGATGGAGATCTAAAAAGATTGAACAAAAGTTCTGTGAATGTTGGTCCCAGTATGCTCCTTTCCTGCATAGAGTCCTCTTTGTGTATAATGTCTAATGAATAAAATATTCAAGAGTGCGAAAAACATTTACCTTTGATATGTTTGTACACAGATCAATCAAATTATGATAATTCCATTGAAAACCTGGAATTTCTACTTTTTTTTTCAAGAATATGCACTTGTATATCGTTTCTTACCAATTCTAAATTCTACATATTCTGATGACAAATATATATCTGAAGTCAAGCACAAATTATATACTTGTTTGTCAAACATTCTGGTAAATAGTGATGACAATTTGTTTTCAGTTTTCCTTTCACTAAATAACAACATTTGCTCATTCAAGCTTACGAAAATATTCGGAATCATTCAATGGATTCTGCTTTTAGCAGAGATTTCTTATGATTATGGAAATGGTTTTGCTGCTTTTTTTTTGCTAGAAAACAATATTGCCACATTAATGCATAAATTATCTGTTAATGCTCCAAATATTGTTTTACAAAACACTGAACAGACTTTACAGGGTCACAGACTTGAGTTTTTAATCTTTTTTTATTGTTAATCTTACTTTGACGGACATTTCTGCCAGATATCTTCAAATAGTATTAGACCCTTTTGCAAATGACACCAAAAATGTATTTCATATTGATTCTGACAAACAAGTTAAATAATAATAGCCAGTAGATAGATTTTATCTGTTGCTTTTTCTATGCAGGAGAGGCTATGTTAATCATATTAGACAGCTGAGCATAGTTCTGAAATCTACAGAGACATTACACGTCATCTCATGTTAATAACACTACTTACCACGTCAGCAGATTCAGGCTGCAAGTTTTAATTACACTTTAATCTACTATATCTTCATAAGCCACTAAAACTAGACACAGTGAGTTCATGTACTGCATTATTCAGACATATATCTGATTACATGATGCTCCAGCGAGGCTGTGCTCAACTGGTGTTTCTGACCTTCACCTTCATACTTAAAAAATGTTATCAAGAAATGAAATAGATTTTGAACATGTATGTTTCAAAGAATAAGACATTATTATAAACAAAACATATTTAGTTTAGTTGCAACCATAACTTTTTAATTATTCTACAATCCCTGTCCCAAAAATAATTTTTGTAATGTGTTTTTTATCTGAAACAGGATATTGTCTGTTGTCATGATCACACATTGCAACAGAATCTGATATTTCCGAAATGTTACAGCTCAAATGTCAGGACTTGTTTAAAATTATCTTAAAGATTCTTAATGCAATAAACTGATATATAACCGCAATTTCAGTAAGACTGAACACAACATCTTCTGGATACTCAACTGCAGAACAAAATACTAAAAAGATGGCCACCTAAATAATGTAAATCAAATGTGAAAAAGCCTCAAAAGAAGAAACATCCCTAATACCTTGAAAAACATATTACACAAATAATCCCACCATTTAGCTTCCTGTAATTAGGGGTGAAACCTTATGGTCTTGGTTGTCAACATCATTATGGTGCTTTGGTCCTCCAAATGAACAAAGGACTCATAATAGACATCATTTGTAACTTCCTGAATATATACAGGCTTTCCATCCACTGGTAATTAAGCGTATGGGAGGGAAAGAGTGTTTAACTACTGTTACCCCTTAAATTAGCTCAAACTATCCTTCAATAGAAACCTTCAATAACAAAACTATTTCTTCTGTTTATCAGTTTATTTCAAAGAGGTCATCTATAATTAAAAATCTCAGTAAAAAAAATCATTAAACCTTCGATCCATTGTTTAAAAAAACAAAACTTCTCTCTAAAAAATGTGTATGACTGTAAATTAACAAAACATGCCATTATGATAATATATACATATGAATCATGATTAATCATTTACATATTTTAGTTAATGGGATATTGTTCTTGTATTTCTAAAAGACAGTAAAACTAATACGAAACCTTTACTAGATCTGAAATATAAAGTATTGCAATAAACATGAGACAGTAAACTATGATAAACAAATAAGACAACGTAAACAACCCACAACAAGTACAGCAATGTGGAGTGAGTGATTATTGTTTTACGCTATATCTAATAATTTGGACATCAACAAATGTGCAATACCAATTAGAAGCAGTTAATGCCAATATATATTGGTGGATTGGGGGACATCCTCTATAATCCAGTGTATTTTTCTTCATTCCATTTTGTTAAACAGCCTTGAGCGATTCAACACCTTAGTTTTGTTTTGAGCCTGATTTGAATGACAACACTAAAAATAGCTGGCCAATGAAAAGACTGCAAGACATTTTGTGATTGTGATTGGAGCAATGGAGATGGTAATTTTACTTCCAAAAGAAAGCTATGGTGCCAAGTGGGTCCTGGGTATTTACAAAGATAGATGGAGACTTAATACTCTGGACAAACGAGGATGATAGGTGGACAAACATGACATTATTATACTATACAAAGAACATTATACTTCAATCTCCTCATTGTTGTTCACCAGAAAGATTCAGTTTGATGAGAGAGTTCATATTTTCAATACATATTCAATGCATATTCATGGTTTGCAGTATAACAATGGTCTCTTTTCAGACTAGAACAGTCATTACATTTTTTTAAATGAAAATAATACATTATTATTGAAAAAAAATTTACTAATCCAACTGTAACATTGTACATGTGTGTATATTCTTATTATACAACCACATGACGTTTCATAAAGTGTTTCAGCAAGAATTGATAGGCTTCCTTGTGTCTGCCTTGACAACCAGATTGGCAAAGAGAAGGATAATTGTGATGAAACAATAACTTTCTTTGTTCAAAATCTCAACTGAAGAATGGCAACAGTTATTGGAATCAGCCATGGTATTCCAAGGTGACAAGGCTCAGAAGCATGTTTAATATCTGTCAAAAGACTTCACAGAAACAAAATTCTATTTGCATTATCATATTTTATGATTCAACACTCATCAAACTGATCCCATGTTAGCTACAAGAGGAAATTTATGTACAGGAATAGTTGTTAGTCGTCACATGACATCACAGTACATCACAGACAAACATTAGTAGTAATACACTATGTACACAGCATGACAAAACACCGGCTAAACAATCAACAGAAACCAAGCCATAGTACTCAGAGGTGCCACTGTTTCCCATATACTGTTTCCTATTTATTGTTTCTCATTTACTGTTTCCCATTTATTGTTTCCCATTTACTGTTTCACACATATTGTTTCCCATTTACTCTTTCCCATTTATTGTTTCCCATTTATTGTTTCCCATTTACTGTTTCACATGTATGTATCATTTCACATTTACTTTATCTGAATTTCATTGAAGTACGAAGTATGCACACAAATAACAAAATTGTATACTGTTTGAATATTCAATAGAAGAAACTGTGGCTCCTCATTTACACAGTTAAAGCTCCAAGCATCCCACTTTGTTAGTTACGGGTAACGGGCCTATCCCATCATGCAACTCCATAAGCAGTGATTGTTAGTACATGCAAGAAATGCTGTGATATCTCTATTCTGCATAACCTATTTATAATGAAAGGATAATATTTTACATCCAGCTTGGTTTACATACATTCATCTTACCCAAAATGCAAACTGATCTTTTTATATCTTAAACATAGATATTTTTCAAATTTGGCATTGTCAATATTTTTCATAAACACCCAATTTGGCATGTCCAAAACCCATTACTCAAACTCAAAGTATTATGACATTAAAAAGCAAACTACACATCACTTAAAACCAAGTAAGCATTTCTTGTCAAGACACAGTTCACATAAAACAGCCCCTAAACAGCCAATATGCATGCATGGACATAGCAGTGATGACACTTTGCTGCAAGAACCCTTTAAAAATGTCCAAAATACAATGAGAGCAAATTTGTAGTGATTTGGGGTAACTTACAATTTTTAGCAAGATTCATCTCTACTAGTCATATAACAAACTAAATACAGCACACATAAACATGGAAAGATGAGAGTCTTTTCCAAAAGGCAGCCTCAGTGCTAGGACATCCTAAAGCTACGTCATGGTAGAAGAAGAGGACCTAGAGTTTCCATAGCTGTAGGAGTGCTATAATCAACATTTTGTTGATTTTCATTTTGAATTTTCAGTCCTCTGACGTGCATGTTATTATTGTCCTTTGACCATCATAAATATAAACTGTCAATGCAAAAGAAAAACCAGTCTTCTATCCACCGAAACAGATTAAGATTTAGCATAAAGGGCAAAATATCTGTGAATATTATATGAATGGATCACTGAAAATCAGTGATGACACCAGGTGTTCACGAAAAGGGTAAGCAGGTCCTGCCCTCCACATGAAAAAGTAAGTGTCCATAGTCATAGCACTAGGGGCCACCTTGTTAAACAAAACAACAAAGCATAAGCATATGTACAACATTGGTCTGGCGATACCAGCTCTGCAACGAAAACCACAATATTATGATCAGTTTTCAGTCCCAAGCACGATCTGACTTAAGCATATGTCCATGTGCAATGTTAACTGGTTAAGTGCTGGTCAACAGCACCCAGTGAGACAGTTAGATTACACAGTGCACAGAAACCTACTCTACATGGTGGGGTTATAGGCAGCCATGCAGCACCGGAAGCAAACACAACACAGAGAAGTCAACAACTGCTAACCCGTTGGAAGGTTCCATCACCAAAGTCCTCTTCTTTTGGTTTGGAGAACATGGCCCGTAGGCGATGAACTGACGGAAGCTCGATTCCAGAATCGGCATCAAATTCCCCTCGGCTCTCTGGAACCTCATCCTCACAGGTGTGTCCCACTAGGACTGTTGGGGGAGGACGCTCTCGGATGGAGGACACGCCCGAGTCGATGGACAGTCTTGGAGAGGACAGCTGACTGTCTGCTCTTGGAGAGAGCGATGACTCTGATGATTCATGAAGACGGTTCACTGTCTGCTCAATGGTGCCAACCTGGAAATAAGTAATGAATTCAGTTAAAAGTTGACTCTCTGCTAATATTTATGATAGTGTGGCGGCTTCTTGTAATATATTTTTGCAAGCCATAATCTTTTATGGTAAAATTTCAAATAGATGTTTGAACTGGATAATCTAAAGAAACTGTTTATTGCTACGTATATCATTGTAGCCTGTGTAATAATACCAAACATTATCATCTTTATTTGGAATGAATCATTTCTGAGAAGTTGAATGTAAATGTATATCGATGTAAATAATACCCTAATGAGGTGAGGTGAAATGGGTTTAACGTTGCATCCAAGATTATTGCACTTATACATCAACGTGCATGCACATGTGTGGGTGGCTGCTTGTACTAGTCCGGACTAATGCCGATCTCATAGAGCTAGCCCACTGAGATACCATGCTACACAGCTGAACATGAATACCCCATTCAGACACAGTATACTGACTCCAAACCAACCAGACCTTGTTTTAACCCATTGATGCCAAGCATCAGGCTGGGAAATAACAAGTACCATCTTTTAACATCTTTTGGTATTATGCGGAATACCTGTTTTCAACCATCAGGACAACACAGCTGGCTATCAGTGTTCTTTTCTGATCATACCAGTATTCACATTTTTAAAGAGCTATTCCAATCCAGGACTAAAATAATATCTGAATTAATAATATAATATTCTGAATTCAGAAAGGACATGCATATGGGTTTTATAATATTACTTTTATAGGCAACCCTCAATCATTACTAAAATATCATTGTTATTGCATGCAAATTAGATATGTCTAACCAAATACATAATCTATAGAAACAATGTTTCTACAAAACATGTTTGACTTTCACAATTTCAATGTAACCATAAACAAAACAGTTTAAGGCTATGAGATGATCAGTTCTATAGGCCATGCTCTAGTGTTTATCACAACCTGTCGTTCACTCTGAGCAACTTGTGCAACTGCCTTTGCCACTTCATCTTCCAGTTCTGACATTTGACCTTTGCCAGAGGTCACTCTAGACTCAAGGTCACGTACCCGATCCTCAAGGCTGTAAACTTTTCCAGCAGCCATGTAGATCTAAGAAAAATATGAAGTGTTCAACAGGGTTGTTCTCTTTGTCCTTATGAATAAACAGTAAAACAAGTTTTCAACATATCAACTTTCCAAAATCATTCAATAAGGAAATGACTGTATCGTATCACTGAACCATGAGATGGGATTTGACATAACTTGTTCATTTTGGTGAAAACACACTTGTCAAAAGAAGTGGAGTGTCTGAACTGTCCTTGAAACGTGAAAGAAGACAAATACAAAAAACAACACAAGCCAAGAAACAAAAGAAACAAATAATCAAATATCTGCCTTGGGATACCTATTCCCTCTGTACAAAGTCAGCAAGCATTTCTCAAATCTATATGAAAATCAATTAGATTTCATAAAAGTCCTGAGATATTATTATTCAGATATTAGATTTGATACCAGATGAATCCTTATTCAAAATAAGAATTCTTTTACAAATTCTCACCTGCTCTTCTGCATTTTCAACTGTTTCTTTTCTGTTAACAATTTCGGCCTGAGGGGAGTAGAAATCTGTTTTCACCTCCCACTTTTTCTTCCCTCCTGACTTCAACTCGTAATCTCTGCCATAACGACTATCATCCACATCTTTAGGCCCACAGTTGACTTTTTCTTCCTTAGCATCTTCATTAGATCGATCATGTGGTTCATCCGGCAAGTTGAACCTCACACTCGTTGGCGAGAGGGCTCTTTGTCGACGTCCACTCGACAAATCATACTTTCTACCTAGAAAATCTGACATGTCCGATTCAGTCTCACCAAACGAGAACTCCTTCACATTCTTGAATTGATTTCGCTGATCACTAACATCCTGAGTGTCATTTGAGGTAGCACCATTATTTTTCCCCGAATCATCATAGCTGTTCAAAAACAGAAAGGAGTCAGTGGACGCCGTTGACATGTCGTCATTGGTATTGTTATTTCTCGTGTCTGTCTTTAGCATATCCCCATCACGGGGAGTACTTGTCATGAAATCGTCACTCGGTGTCTCTCTCTCATTCTGAATAATTTCCTCCGCTGTGCGTAAAACATTCAAAGCGGATGACGTCAACATGCGAACATTTTTGGCTGCTTTCTCCTGTCAAAAGAAATGATTCTAATGAAGGCAATGTCACCCAGGCATGAAATTAACGATGTGAATTTCACAAAGGTTTCGGTCATTAAGTCTGTTAGAAGCAGGTTGATGTCAATCATATCCACAAGGCCACAACAAATTGATCACTTGTTCATCACAATTTACACTGCCTCTTCAATTAAATGAAAATTGTATCATTTGTAGTGATCTTGTGACCATGCACAGATTACTACACCTAGCTATTTAACTACCTACTTTGCCCTTGAATGGATTGCATATACACTTTTATGGCAAACCAAAGGATCAGTCAAAGAATAAAACAGCTTCAATAAAAATCAAGTGAGTGAGTGAGTTGTGTTTAACGCCGCTTTTAACAGTATTCCAGTTATATAGCAGCTTGTCAGCTTAATGTGGGAGGAAAGCCCGAAGTGATGCAGGTCTCAAACGTTTACCACTTCGGTGTAACCCACGAGCACGGGTATGGTGCTGACAAACCTAAAAACATAATCAGGGCGAACCGGGATTCGAACCCACAATCATAGGTTTCTGGCGTGCCCAAGGGACGCAACTCTGCACAGGGAATTGGGCACCTTAGATGACTGGGCCACCGGTGCCCCCTAAAAATCAAGTATCTGATCACTGATACTCCATAAGTTTATGAGATGTTAACAAAATTAATTAACCAAATCTTCAAAAAATAATGTTGTTACAGCTTAAAATTGCCCTTGATCCTCAGTTTAATAAATATCTGAGTACATATATTTTAAAACATAATTAATTGGGTGTAGGCCAGTCTTGTGACTGAAAGCTGTGCACTGTTAGTGGTCGCTTCTTACGACAAATATATAGTTAGTGGTGGCTACTTAAATAAACATATGAGTTTGATGATTTTTTCATTCATGCCAATTTGACATGAATCATTAGTAGCTGTTTGGTAAAACAATGAAAGATGAAGGATTTCAAGAAAACAGTGCAGTTACATGAAGGGAGACGCCTTCCAATTGCTTTAAACTTGGTCCATGCGCAATGTTCAAACACACATTGGATTCCACATCCCTGGGTTTACCAGGAGTAATTGCATAAAAGTGTTAAAAAAAGACTCACTCTCCCTACTCAGCATTGTGAGGAACAAGTTTGAAAATTTGTAACAGTGTATGTGTTTTACATTTTTATTTAGGATCACAGCACTCAATCCTGGACCAGTCAAACCAGTGGTCGAGAGTGTGAGCACCTATCCATCCTGACTGTATGATTGTACATAAGGAGGTAGGTCTGATTTGTTTGTTTGTTGTTTAAGGCCGCACTCAGTAATATTCCAGCTATATTTCGGCAGTCTGTAAATAATCGAGTTCAATCCAATGATTGACATTGGGATGGGGATACGATGACATGCATCATTCAAGTCAGCAAGCCTGACCAGCCGATCCTGTTAGTCGCCTCTTACAACAAGCATTGTTGCCATTTACATCAAGCATGGGTTGCTGAAGACTTATTCTACTCTAGATCTTCACGAGTCGAGTCACTGAATGTATATTGATGCTTCAAATCAGCAGCTATTTCTTCTAAATATTGAAGCTATGACAACCAGTGGTTGATAGCATGAACATCAATCTACACAATTAGCTGACACACCAATGACTCACAGTTACACATAATTCTGCCTCCGTGGGTAGAGTGTCTGCATGGAGAGCGGAATGTGGGTTGGTACCCCAAAACATTAAAAGATGGGTACTTGTTGTTACCCTGACTGGCGTGCGCACACCCACGTGCACACGAACACATGCACACACACGCACACACACACACACACATCACTATATATAAGCCAATAATCTTGAACCCCATTTCAACTGACACCACACCCAAATTCTTGCCCTCAGAAGATTAAGCGACATCTTACCCTTGCCCTATATTCCTCTATAGCTTCAAGACCTGATGTGTCACCAAGTCGGTCGTCAAGACTAAGGTTGTTATTTTCTTCATCAATCTTCCCCTCCAGGGTGGTGAGCTCCTGGTCCATGATATCCAGATTCTCATTAAGGAACGACAGCTGCATGAAGCAATTAGTATTTTTGTTAGCAAATCGGAAATATTTTCAGCTCTCAACTATGATGAATCTACATGATTATTAACGATTAGTAAAGCTAAATGCAACTAAAATATTAGCCTGTCTCACAGTCCCTGAACCGAATTATTTTCCCTTCAACCCAGTCCTTTCTGTAATGCATTAGTTCTGAATGAAGCAAGTCTAGATTTTCCACATGTTCTGAATTTCCCACATCACTGGGCTTCTTTTCAATTTAAATGCTGTTGCTAGTTTCTATCAAAATTATATATTTTCAGGGGCTGAGGGTTACTCTACTAAAATATGTTAACATATGATACTTATATCTGCTGAAGAGGTAATACTTTTAATGATCCAGATGCAAAAATATCTGTTCCACATTAATGAAAGAAAAACTTCCTTAGGCAACTAGAAATTCATCCCCTTTTGTTAGATGTGACAATTTTGTGTCTTCCTGAAACATTTCTTTTCTAGTTTTATATTCATTTGATTTCTTTGTTGTTGTTTTTTGTTTTTTCGTTTAACGCTGCACTCAGCAATAATCCAGCTGTATGACAGTATGACAATCCAGTGATTGATATCATGAGCACCAATCCACGCAAGTGGGATACGATGACATGCATCAACCCTGTCAGCGAGCCTGACCACCCGATCCTGTAAGTCGCTTCTTACGACATCTCTTACGTCAAGCAGGAGTTGCTGAAGACCAATTCTACCCCGGATCTTCACAAATCTTATATTCTTTTGAACATTTTGGAGGCTTTTATGGCCAGGGACAGAAATTGTGTAGCAAGAAGTAATTTGCTTGTAAGATCATCATACGAAATAAGATTTTGTTTAAAGAATGAAGCAAATATTCTAATAAATATAGAGACAGACCCCAAACGACAATGAGAGTGCAGTAATACACAGTGAATGCTTCTTGTATAAAATAAAAAAATAAGTAATTTTCAAATTTCAGGAACCGAAAAGTTGGCCAACAGGGATGGGGAGGAAGATATATTTTGCAGAGTCAGCACAAATGCGTCATGATAAAATTATCCAACTGAACTGACCTCCTCGGCAGTACCCAGCATCCTCTCTGCAGTGGAAGTGATGTCACTACGAGCAGTCAACACCTTGTCACTCAGGTTGGTCAGATTCTGGTCGTTCCTCCTCTGTTGGAAGGAGGGTGTTGATGAAACAGTCTGCTTCTCTGTCGGTCGGATGGAATCTGTCCATAAAATAAGGATTACATTGAATGTTGCATGGAATACAATTGGATGGATGTTATAAAATTATACATAAAGTTAGGTTATCAGTATAACCCCCTCACGATAGAATATTATAAATCTTTTGAGTGACTGAGTGACTGACTCTGACCACCCTATCCATAATTCTTGGAGCTACTCTGACCTGTTCTGAGGATCCAAACAGGGCTAAGGGATGCAACTCTTGAAAGAGAATTGCAGTGCCTTAGAAGCAAAAGCTGCCTGCCACACCTCATGCATGAAGCCACACTCCAGCACAGTGGTGAGTTGGTGACACAGGCTAATTTGCATATCATGGAACCAGACATTTCTCTCGTTTGTAAACAAACATGCTTTTTCTGAAATCAATACATACTGGCTTAATGCAAGCCTTTCGGTGTGCATTACATACTGTTTTGCATAATTATATAGATATGCTATAACTGCGGCAGTGAGGTGTAAGACAATATAGCTTCATACATCCAAGTGGCGGAATCGTTATCTCTCCATACGGCGTCAATGACAGCACATGGAGCCGTACAACCATGTAAACAAGGGACAACTGTGGAAATAGTTTTTCACATTTTAGTATATTTTCCCAATGAATGTTAACCATACTATGACATATATTTATCTCAATGAGTAGACTCATCAAAGGTGAAACATATGAAAAAAACCATGCAATATCTTGAATGGACTGTGAAAGATGTGACGAATCGTCACTGGCCTGTCGCAGAGGAACGTACTATGCTGATTGTATGGAACTCTGGGTAGGAGAGGGGCATGAAGCCTATGCCTTACAAAAGAACATATGTACACATGGAAAAATGTCAAGCACAGCTTAGTATGTAGTCCATATGTTTTGAAATTCTGCCCTTTTAATATTCAGGATAAAAAATTTTTACAATGTGACATACTCAAATTGAAATACAGAAACCGAAAACAACTAATCATTGACAAGTTTTGTTTCTGCTTCACTGCAATAGTTATTTGACTATCCTTTCGTCTGTTTACTCTACTTCCCTGTATCATATGAAATGACTTGCAACTATCAGGAGGAACACATGTACACAGTGGTTTTGTATCATCTGCCCACAATGTATCAGTGGTAACCTGGACACTTTTTAAAGTGAGATACATGGCCAAAAGATCCATGGAAGTTCGGGATAAATGAAAACAAAGAAGGAATAGCGCTTAATTTTAGCTGGTGTAAATAAACCTTCATGTCAAAGAACTCCAACTCACCCAACTGATCTGACTCCACAATAACTTCGGCTGTAGACTTTGTGTTTCCTGCAATGTTTTTGGCAACAACTGTGTACTCTGCATCATCATCAAGGGTTGCGTTGTCGATTGTCAAAATGTAGTCACGGTTCCCGAATTTTTCTGAAAACAAAACAACAAAACCATAGAATCTCTTTCGGTCAGCAAGCATATTTCAAGAATAATTCCTTTTACTTTTGAAACAATCTGAAGACTTATTACATTCTTACCCAGTCTGCAAAATTTGCTGTTCTTCAGCAATTTCCCATCCTTGTACCAGATGACCCTTGGTTGAGGGTAACCTTTGACCTTGCACCTGAACTTTACACTCTGACCCTCCTTGACCTCAACATCTTTGATATCCTTGATGAACTCTGGCTTCTTGAGTTCTTGTTTGTTGTCTGAAAGAGGAAGGGAATGTGGTCCGAGTGTCTGTTACATGACGGGATGAGGAAACTGAGGAAGATGTTCCCCTCCTAGCTGTGCTGATTCAGACGTTCATCATGTCCCTCTTCACACCGAACTAGCTCACAAACCTTGTGTTTTCTTTTGCTTTGGGGAATTAGCAAAATTAATCAAGTGAAATTAATTGTTTTTCTTAAATATGATATACACAATGCAAAAGAAAGTTCATTCAGTTGTCACACACATACACTTTGACCATACCACTAGCTGTGTGTAGTACTTTCCAATGTGTTAATATTTCAGGAAAAGTCTTAAGTATTGGGTGTAAATTGATGCAAATAATAATGAAACAAAACACTTTCAAAAGTTAAAGACTCTTTGTAAACTAAATAGGAGAAAATGAAGCAGTGTGTTGGATTTTCATTTTCTCTGTAGCTGACACCTCAAAGAGCATGCTTGTGCAAAGAGCAGGTAAGTCAGCAAAACACTGTTAAAGTGGGAATATACATCACAGTCTGGCGCCAATTTTCAGTCTAGGTCTTGGACTTAGTGGCTCCAACTGAGAGTATGTCTCTGTGTCATCATGGTCATCCTTTACTGCTACTTTCATACAAGTACTAAAATTTGGGTTTTGAACGACTTGCTAGGACTACAAATTAGCGTAGCCTAGTCCCTCCTTAAAGCCTTACCATTCAGTAAATCAGCCATTATATATTTGTATGATGTGGCATTTTAGAACCGGTGGTATGAATTAAGACGGGGATGACTTATGAACTTAAGCAAGAGCTTGACGAAGTACTATCACATGTACTGAAACAAAACAACGAAAAAGCTGAAATCAATAAGTCAACTTTGTCTCCACACTTGAGAGTGTTGCATGCACTATCCATTAACAGAAGCTGTTTCCACTGTCCCACATCCTGAAGACTCTCAAAACAAAAATGTAGCAACAGCTTTCTAAACTGGCTAGAAATATCTACATGGGAACCATCAAGACTGGTTATTCAAAGCAGAATAGCCACATACTATCATAGATGTTCATCATTCACACAGCGACAGTATGGGTGATACGTGTATTCAACATACCTGTGATGGTCACTATGAAGTACTGTGTGCACTTGCCCTGGTCACTCAGGGCTATACACATGTACTGGCCAGCCTTCTCCTTGGTCAGGTTGAACAGTGTGATGGTGTGCTTGTCCCCATCATTGGTGACCTCTATGTCCTCAGAGTCCTCCAGTTCCTCCACCTCCTTGTCCTCTCGGTACCAGAACACATCTGTAGGGGGAAATAACTCAATAACACATCCGTAAGGGGAGGTAACTCAGTAACACATCAGTAAAGGGGGTAACTCAATAACACATCTGTAAGGGGAGATAACTTAATATCATATGTAACTGTAAGGGGGATAAATCAAGTACATGTGAGGGGAGATAACTCTATAACACATCCGTAAGGGGAGGTAACTCAACAACATATGTTTGGGGCAATAATTCGATGAGATATCTTACTGATAATAGGCTGCACAATGGCCAGATTCACAAAGCATTATGATTCAATAACGCATTCAACTTTCAGTTATGATGACACTAAATAATTTGAGCAATCCTGGAACGAATAAGGCTAAAAAAATTATAGTCTTGGTTCTCAGGCACCACCCGTATCATCATAAAGTCTGCCGCACGTTTTGTTTATTTCCATTTTCAAAAAAATATATAAATCCTAATACTTGAACACAATGCACACAAAAAATTGAAAATGGAAACAAAAACAAAACTTGCGGCAGACTTTATGATGATGCGGGCAGTGTCTGAGATCCAAGACTAAGATGTGTGATATGAGATGGATGTGTAAATGGCAGAGGGAGTAAATGAGTGAAGACATTGTTTTGTACATGAGCCGAGGCCCTCCTTCCCACATAATTCTTGCTACTACTTGTACCGCTAACATTTGTACACATGAAAGAATGCTCCTAGAAATGGCGATGATCTCAATTCCAGATAAAAAACAAGCTCAAGGTGTTCTATGCCCTTGTCAGCAACATGTTCATGTAAAAACAGAAAAGATCCAGAGACACAAACATGCATGCACTTTCAAACACAAAGCATTGTGTTCATCTGTCAAAGAAGTGACACAAGCCTTTCAAGTCCATATGAAATATAGGAAAGATGAAGATAGTGTTGAGGAAAGATGAAGTATTACATAAAACATGACACCAAAATGGGAGACAGTTGTCTGCTAAAACTACACTCATGCACAAACTAAGTAAATAATATCTGTAGCCACCATAAAGAAACCAGACACAAAAATAATGACCAGGCAGCAGGCCTATTTTAAACATCTTCATAAATAATTTTGCATTCCTACCATGGCAGGGGGCCAAGAAATGGTCTTGTACTTATACCCATGGTGGGAATAAAACCTGATGCTTCCGTGTGATGAGCAAACACTGTAACTACTGGTCGATCATATCATCGTTTTAGCGATCGGTTAGGAAATCTGGATTTTAAGGCAGGGATGAGTCCAAATTTACTTCCCGGGTACCCAAGCCCCTATTTCCCTCCCCTGCCCATGAACCCACTGTAGGTCTCAAGAGACCGAAACAAAATGTCCGAATGAGAATTGTTTGAACGGAGCTCAGGCAAAAAAGTATTTAACTACACATACACTTAAAATGATCTGGTCACGTATACACTGAAGTTGACTGAAGCTTTATCTTTATTCAAACATATATTATTAAGAAGGAATGCATGCATATAGTGAATGACAACATTAGCGAGTTTTGTCATTAAACAATATATCGCGTGACTAACCACGGGTCCGGGTAGTCCTGTGGAAACCTGGGTCCTACCCAGGACCCACCCGGCCAGAGTACCCAAGTTACCTGTCCCAGCCCTACTGGGTTTACAGCCCTTTTCAGCGTTATTCAAGCCAATTTACATTGGGGAAACCAAGAACCGGCCACACACATTGTACCGAATCCAGTGTCTCAAGGGTGAGGGCTGAATGCTGTAACCACTAGGCTAAACCACCACCTCCTGATTTATGCTGAGAATTTACACAGCTGTCCACAGTATTCAAGCCAGCCTTTTCTTAGAAAACCCATTAGATTATTTACCACTATTGTGAATTAAGCATGCAATGATTTGATGCTGATAAACAATCGATATATTTGTATCCACAATCATTTTCACAGCATTTTCAACTCTGCATAGCATGGGCCACAGCCGTTATCCCTTCTTTCTACTTCATTGAGAAAAATATCTTCAGAAAATCAAAATAGAAAAAAAGGATAAAAAATATGAAAGTAAAAAGACTAAAGACTAATGAAGTGAAGTAAAGACATCTAGATACTCTACAGCATGTGGAAGACAAAACAAAGTACTAGAACGATACTTCCTGGAATCTTCATGGTTGAATGGAAAAATAAATAGGAAAAAACATATTATGGCCAATACAAGATGATACAGCTGCCTGAACCATGTTCAAACTATAATGATGTATTATATAGAGATATATTTCAAACAAGCTTTGGTCTAATGTCCATGTATACAATACTGTCTGTAAATGTGGGCAATATGTCAATATTTTGTAGCATAATAGACATCCTCGGCACACAGGGGAATGATTTCAATAGATACAGATATGACATGTGGGTTGTAAGATACTATTACTTGCACAACTGATTATGGATTGTTGACAGTGAGGAGGACTTCTGTTAAAATGAGAAGATTTCATAGTGTGACGACATCCAAAATACAGGATTTACGGCTATGATATAGGGTTGATGTACCAATTCCTGCAGCTATAGCATTGCGATTTGACTTAAACCCCATCCCTTTTGCAGTGATGTCAACATCAAGAATGGGCTGGAGAATAATAAACTCATAGTGATATATGACCCAGTCCTTGACAGTAGCCGGTAAAGAATCTGATGAAAGTTCAAGGGATCAAGGCTACAAAATGATCCCTTGGAATATGAAAGGTTGACTCTTAATAGCATGGGTTACTGCCATATTAGTTCACTTGAATAATATTTGCCCTGTGTGCTAAGGATGAACATATGGATATCAACAGCTGTGCATATAACCCTTCATCCACCTCTCTTACCAAGTTTTGGTGGATCTGAAAACAATTATTATTCATAGAGATATAAACAGATGACAATGCCAGCAGCTAATGGTATTTTGTCCTACACTTCCAACCCATCATCTGATTTCAGCAATGGATTTACTCAAAAAGTCATCATGTCGGAATTCAAATCTTTATCAGAAGCGGGTTCATCAAAATAATTTTGGGATAATTTTTAAAAACAACCTTTCTGTTCACAATTTATTGTGTAGTTAAATATTCAGGAAAACATTCTATTTTTTATTTCTTCATGTTACAAAAATTGACAAAGAAGTATGGTTGTCGAAATCAAGTTGGCTGTATTATTGAATGTATTAATGAAGTTTCATGGACAGATCTCCTGATTTTTGAACACATAATAACATGAAGAAACTGCTTTGACAGTCATGATCCAATTGTCAATAATTTTATTTTGTTAGTATAAGTATTCTTAATAATCTCCTTAAGTAAGCCTATGCATGAATATTGCAAAACATTTACAATGAATGGATCACTCACCAATAGCCGAAGTCCCACCGACTCTACATGATATTTTCAGTGGCTCGCCTTCTGCAATGCTAACACTCTCTGGAGGCAGAATAAACGTGGGATCGTCTCCCTCAGCAGGAACAAATTCCTCTGTTAGCTTCAGCGGTTCCGGATCAGCTTTAGAGGTGGTGCCTTGTGGTGTTGTCCCCACCCCTGCATTATTGCGTCCCAGAATTGGACCTGACTCAGTTCGGAGAGCACCAGTTAAGATTTTAGAGTTAACACCCGAGTCAGCATCAGAGTCCGTCTGCGCAGAAGTTGTTGAGTGTTTCCGAGATATCCTTGCAAGTTCCTCAGAGGTTTTTGCGTAAAATGTGTTTTCATCATCACTCAAGTCTTCTGCACTTTGTCCCTGAGCGTCAGTGTCCGAGAGGTCAGAGAGCTGGTCAGCATCCCTGGTGACAGGAAGAAATAATTTATTGATGCATAAAGCGTCTGATTGCTACTGATAGAATGTGCTTTTCATTGAAGCGGATGAGTGGGTATGGTTTTACACCGCTTTGAACAATATATTCCAGCACTATCACAACAGCAGACACCAGAAATGGGCTTCACATATTGTACCCATGTGGGTGCTGACAAACCAAGGTGATAATCAGGGCAAGTCTGGGATTCCAACCAACAATCAGTGGATCCTGGCATGACTAAGGGAAGCAACTCATTCAAGCTGATGGTGATGACTAAGCCACCCATGCTCATATTTCAAGGATGTGATTATCAACAATGTTTTATAGTTTCTTTAAAGAAATAGTTATGAAAATAGTATTTATTTATTTAACAAGGCTTTTATGACGATGAAATAATTATTTACTGCTACAGTCTGCATAAAACAGCTGGCCTGGAGCAGGCAAACTAGTGGTTGAAAGAGTGAGCATGGATCCATGCTGTGAAAGTTTAATGATACCCAACCAACCATGTCACAGCTGACAGATGGTCTCACCAGGCGGACACCCATCCACATATAACCTTTTTCAGCAGCCATTATGACCACCCAATCCTCATTCCATTGACACATAACAATATTCAGGCTCCTAGCACCACGGCAAAGCTTATTTTGTTTCTGTTGGTCAAAAAACAGCTGTGATGAAGCCATTCAAATGGTCATCTCACAGGATGCAAACATAGTAGTACCTACCCACCACAATATCAACTACAGCTACTGATACTATACCCCCCAAATGCTAACTAAAAATAATTTAGATTTTAATCCTAATCTTCACACAACCAGCCAAGGCATTATGTAACTCCAGCATACTATCAAATGAACAGAGCCCTTACCCTGGAACACAATGACTTTGGTACTCAACTCTTGCTCGGGATTAAAGAATTTGACTTTCAGAATATAATTTGCAATAACTTTTTTCTTTTTTTCCCCCTGAGTTTGGTTTGATGTCGCTTTAAAAAGTATTTCAGTTTTATCAGGGCATGTCAGCTTGATCCGGGATTAAAGCCTGAATGGCTGCAGGTTTCAGACATTTGAAACAGAAGGGCACAGGTATTATGCTGACCAAAATAGAAACATAATCAGGGTGATGCAAACCCACGATCATATTTCTGGCATGCCTTAGGGCACACGTGTGAACAGCAAGTTGCATCGCCTTGGACGACATGTCACCTGTGCCTTCTTGTTTCTGTCACTAACTGACACTGTGAAAACCAATTCTGTAGATCACAACAGTTGAGTAGTAAAGCATATCAACATTTGCATTATTTAAGCCTTTTTTCCCACACCCCCAAAAAGCATTTCCAAAGCATCGGCTATAACAACGACATCCCAAGCATCAGCTCCAGTGGCTAAACAATGTGCCTACCATATCCCAGTGTCACAGACGCTGTAGACAAAAGAACAGACTCTTTTACAACTGTGAAAAACACACATCCCTGTTATGTACCTAAATTTTTCCGTTATTTAAATACTTATGCAGGTAATTTAAATTGTAACCACATAGTCACTCAACAAGTTGGAGACTGTCTTTTGGTTTCTAATGGGGTGGGTTTCTATGGTATAATCTGAATCAAAAGTGCATATTAAACTAGCATTGTATTGAGGTTGAAAGTGATCACATTAATCCTATAACTGCTATAACTGCTGAAAACATAAGCTATAGCAAGGGAAGTTTGATAGCTAAAGTGCAAGTGCAAATCATCCAAGTACTATCCAACCCTGCAGTACTGGTGGCTACTATCCAATTACTATCCGACTGTGCAGAACTGGTGGCTACCATCCAAGTACTATCCAACTCTGCAGTACTGGTGGCTATAACCATCCAAGTACTATCCAACCCTGCAGAACTGGTGGCCACCATCCAAGTACTATCCAACCCTGCAGTACTGGTGGCCACCATCCAAGTACTATCCAACCCTGCAGAACTGATGGCCACCATTCAAGTACTATCCAACCCTGCAGTACTCGTGGCCACCATTCAAGTACTATCCAACCCTGCAGAACTGGTGGCCACCATTCAAGTACCATCCAACTCTGTATCAGCCATAGTGACCACTGATCCCCTTGTCTCATATGACCAGGAGGGACCTAAATGCCAGCCAATCTTCACAGATTAACCACAGACTACCTGATCTATTACAGTCGACTATTAAGACATGCATAGGTTAATCAGGACCAGTTCCACCCGGGAAATCTAGCTAACTAATTCAGTCATGTTACAATAAAAGACTAATTCCAACCAGACTAATTCTGTAACCTGTGTTACAGAAAGCTGCCAACACACCTGTTTCCAACCTTCGGGACAAAGTCATCCTCTGGCTGAGGAACCATCATGTACAGTGGCTTCCCTTCATCATTGCCAACCCGTCGATTACCCAGGTTGTCATAAGGAGAGACCATTCCCTTGAAAATCCAGTTCTCCCGTCCCGGCTTATCAGTGTCGTTTGCTTCATCCTCCAACTCCTCCTCTGTTTCCTCCGGAATGATTGCCAGATTCATTGACAACAAGTCGGGGTCGATTTCGTCAGTATCAAAGTTTATATGTTCAAATTCTGAGAAATCAGGTAGAGGTGGTTCAGCATTATGGACCCTCTCTGCACTCGAGCATCTAATGTGGAAGTCCTCAGCTGCTTCGTCTTTGTTCAATGTTACTTTTTCAATTGGCTTTTCATCAATTGGGCTCAACTGCTCTTCTATATCACGTGACACTGGCGAAGGACGGGCTTGTGTCTTTTTCACAAAGCTTCGCAATTCTTCGAAGTCTTTTACAATATCACTAGGCTGATGTTCTTCAACATCATCACTGAATCCACCATAGGAATACCTTCCATCAGGCTGATCAAGATTTTCGCTTACCTCCCTTCTATGATTCTCTAGTATCTGAAGATAAAAATATTTCATGAGAAATATTTCAAACATAACTAATAATGAAAATCACATAAACAGAGTATCTAAACTTCACACTCAATAAGGCAAATAATGTATTTGCACTTCCATAAAATAATATAGTCTGTAAGATATAAATAATAGTAAAACATCATTAAATCCAAGGTTTGTTTGTTTTGTTATTTAACGCCATACTCAGCAGTATTCAAGCTATATGACAGCAGCCTGTAAATAATCAAGTCTGGACCAGACAGTCCAGTGACTGAGAAAAGAACGATCCAGGCTGTCTGGATAAACGGACACACCACTAACCAAGCCCCCGAGCCTGACAACCCGATCCATTTGGTCAAAGACGTATAGAGTTGTATATACGTCTTTGATTTGGTCAAGCAGCATAGGTTGCTGGGGACCAATTCTAACCTGGAATCCCCGCGTGGATAAGTCCCAACTGCAAGTATCATAACATCATAACATCTATACAGCTAGTACTTTGAGACAAACAGAGTGTCCACATAAACCATAAGTTGGTTGGTTGGTTGGTTTGTTGCTTAACGCCGCACTCAGCAATATTCAAGCTATATGACGGCGGTCTGTAAATGATCGATTCTGGACCTGACAATCCAGTGATTAATATCATGAGCATCGATCCACGCAATTGGGATCGATGACATGCATCAACCAAGTCAGCGAGCCTGAGCACCCGATCCTGTTAGTCGCCTTTTACGACAAGCATAGTCACCTTTTACGGCAAGCATGGGTTGCTGAAGACCTATTCTACCCCGGAATCTTCACGGGTTTAAACCATAAGTCTGATAAGGATTCTGCAGACCTCAAAGTTGTATCACCTTTAATGACTTATTAACTTAAATGGAGTTTATATACAGTGAGTGAGTGAGTGAGTGAGTGGGGTTTAATGCCGCTTTTAACAGTTTTCCAGTTATATCACGGCGTGTCAGCTTAATGTGGGAGGTAAGGTTTATATACAGAGGAGTCTTGATCCAGATACTGAGTGAGCTGCTTTGAACAAAATATTTCAGTTATACCACAGCATGTCAGCTTAGGTGTTAGGCATTTATCACTTTGCTGAACCCCATGATCACAAGTGGGGTTCTGACAAAGCAAGACAAATTCACACACGACACAAACCGATAAAAGGGAGACAACTCATGTTGGTTCTTAAAGCATAAAATGATAAAAGAATACAAGAATACTACAATATTGTGAGTCATGAGACATAAGTCAAAAGACAATTAACTTTGTCAACTGACTTCAATCCACCACCTTGTATGAACGGAATACAGACCCTGCAATACTCCAGACTGAGTATACAGATGTCAACTTTTCCAGTTCACTGCAGTGCACTGGGTAATTGGAGCATAGAAGACAAATGATTGTTTTCATGCTGTGTAACTTAATAAAAACTATTTCAACAGACTATATGACCTTTTCTTATGACCCTTTACAGCACGAAATATTTGTCACATTCATTCTCTCCACATCAGCTATCAGTGAAATTGCTTTATCAATCCTGCACATCAAAGGGTTCAAGTTGGTCCACCATAGACACATTGTCACAGACAGCATTAAACATGTCTTCATTTGAACTATTTTACACTCTGGAGTCTTGTCGGTTGAGTGCATTATGGGAGGATCTCCATTAGGAAACTGTTAAATTAGAGACCCATTGTTGAACTTTGTTGAATAAGAAACAGGCCATTTCATCTTTAGGATATTTCGATTTTCATTCAAGATCAAGTATTTGAAAGGTCTTCAACATTTTCAACATTCATTTTACATCATATCAAACAAGAATGGTTCTGCAACAGAATGTGGAATGTCATTTAATATTTTATTTTTAGGACATTTCTACTGATGTTTTTGAGAGGGGAAATATGTCACATAAACATATTTCCCCCCCCTTTGCTTGTCAATCATATATATATATATGGCATTCATCATTTTTCTCAAAGATGTGAAATTGATTGTTATTGTAGACTTCGATCATTCTTCATCAACTAAATGATGTGGTTACCTTGGAAACAATGGCTTGAGCAATCTGATCCTCAAATGAGTTCTGGTCCCCTCCTGAATCATCTGACAAGGACGACAGATCTGACACAGCCTCGTCCGATGTCTGAAACATACAAGCAGACATAAGACATAGTGGTATTGTTAAAATCACTGACAAAATATATCTACATTACAGCAAGAGAGTATGGTATCAAACCCTTGTCAGCTAAACTCCTAGAAATATTACAGCGTGAATGCACCACACAGTGTACTCATTTTGGGAAACAAACCCAGATTTCCAGTGTGATGAGTGACTCCCTCGGCTGCCTCACTTCTCCACCACCTTACTGTAAAGGGAGTCAGTATGGGTGAGTATGTCTGGCTTAATTCCACTTTGAACAGTATTTCAGTTATATCATGGCGTGTCAACTTGATGAGTGAGGAAAGCCTGAAGTAATGCAGGTCTGAGACCTTTACCACTTTGGTGAAACCCACAATCAAATTACGGTGATGACAAACCTAGAAATGTAATCAGGGCAATTCAGGATTCGAACCGGTGATCATAGATTTCCGTCACATCACAGGAAGCAACTCTGATCAGCAAATTGTTGCCTTTGACGACTTGGCTACCCATGACCATTAAAAGAAAATGGAGGGCAGCAGGTATTTTGAAAACGATTTATTGATATGCTTAAGATTATCCTAAAAGTAAAAAGTCTGCAAAAGACAGAGTGTTGCTTTGAACATAGACATAAATGCATTCAAATCTTAATGTCAGAGGCGAGCCCAGACGCAGGTCGTAAATGCTCACCACTTCATTGTAACCAGCAAGATATATACTACTCAAATTAATGCTTTGGGACCACCTTATTCTTTAATATTGCTATAATTATGTCATGCCATGTAGTAATCTGAAAGAATTAGGTGATCCTTAAGTTGTTTTGAGTGGAATATATGGAGCAGCCAAGCCAGGGATCATAATCAGGATTAATCTGGGTTTTGAACTCAGAGGCATCAAGTGGAGCAGCTCTGCACAGCACATTGTGATACCTCAAATCACTGAGACCCAGTTTTAAATAGAAACTATTGAAAAAAGACGCCTCAAAGGCATTTATTTCAATTTGATGTCAGAAAGTGATGATACAGCCTGAAGTTAAATCTTCTTAGTTGCACCTATTCTGTGGAAGTAATCTCTGAACTGATCAATATCAACAACATGTGATCAAGTATTTTCTTCAAATACACAACAGTTCATCATTTTCCTTCAGTGACAAATATGTGAACAGAAGTCTTCATAACTGTTATCTTGTTGAAATTTATATGTTGAATATCATTGATCTCGTCCTCGAAACATTTCCTTGATTGTACAAGTCATAGTTATTATGGGACATTGACATTGTCATCAAGTTTTAAGCAATATTTCGGTTATCAACAACAAAGTAAATTCAAATTAATCAATACATGATGAACACGGAACTAGGGCAGATCCAGGAAAACACATAAGGGTGGGTTCCACTTGGGTCATTTGTAACTGTGGTGTCTCTGTGTGTGGTGGGGGGAGGTGAGGTGAAATTGGGTTTAACGTCGTGTCCAAGATTATTGCACTTATATAGCGACGTGCATGCATGTGTGTGTGTGGCTGCTTGTACTAGTCTGGACTGATTTATAGTGCTAGCTCACTGTGATACCATGCCGCAGTTTAACATGAATACCTCACTCAGACACAGTATACTGACTCTGAGCCGACCAGTCCTTGTTTTAGCCCCTTAATGCCGAGCGCCAGACAGGGTAACAACAAGTACAATCTTTTAACGTCTTATGACGTATGACACAGCTGGGGATCGAACCCCGGACCTTCCGCTCTCCGGGCGGACGCTCTACCTCTAGACCACGGAGGCGGTTGGTGGGGCGAGGGGAGGGGTGGAGCCTAAGCCTAAAAAATCACAAACACCAAATGTAAACTGTCATTAATGAATATACTTTATCAATCAAACAACCATGTTATCATGGTAGACAATACGCATACAAAATGTCTCCAGATGTAAAAGAAGGGGATGGCCACCCTTAGAACAACCCCCCTCTGGATCCGCAACTGCAGAAGTAAACTACTGGAACAATCAAGTCCGAATATCTGTACACAAACTGTAGAAAAACAGTATCAAAGTTGTGTGCATCTTCTTCAAAAATCTTTTCAAAACAGACTTCAACAACATTCCTCCACAGGTGACTACAATGCACCAGACATGAGAAAATGCTTCTATACAGTCCAACACATGTTACTTTCACATGGATGACGTCAATAGCATCCGACTGAAATAAACAATCTGACATGAACCAAAACAAACCCAGATGAAGAAACCAGCTTGAAATACACACCAAAAACTTACCTACATCCCACCAAGATGAAGCTATCAATGTGAAATACACAACACAATTACGGGAGCAAATTCAGCCTGTCATGATGAACAGGTTACACCTACAGACCTTCAACAAGGAAATACATACCTGTACACAAGTGTACCACAATCACATGTGTCGTAAATAACCTGATGTTTAAGTGGGTGAAATCCATAGCTGTCAGCTGATAAATACATTCTGGTATGTTTCGGGTGACTGCTCTTATTGTTGATGATGTTTTTACTACTGAGTGTAGACCCGCACCCCTTTGATGAGTGTGTAGGTGGGTTAGCCAGGCTGCTTATTATCTGTGATTAACTTCATCATTATGGAAATAAATTTGCAGTCTCCTCGCTCTGGGTTTACCATGAGTAATTGCATAAAAATGTCAAAAAAAAAGACTCACTCTGTTATTATTCCCTACTCAGCATTGTGAGGAACAAGTTTTAAATTTTACAGTGAATGTGTTTTACATTATTATTTAGGATCACAGCACTCAATCCTGGACCAGTCAAACAAGTGGTCGAGAGTGTGAGCACCTATCCATCCTGACTGTATGATTGTACATAAGGAGGTAGGTCTGATTTGTTTGTTTGTTGTTTAAGACTGCACTCAGTAATATTCCAGCTATATGAAGGTGGTCTGTGAATATTTGAGTATGGACCAGACAATCCAGTGATTGACAACATGAGCATCGATCTACACAATTGGAATACGATGACATGCATCAACCAAGTCAGCAAGCCTGACAGCTGATCCCGTTTGTCACCTCTTGCGACAAACATGGGTTGCTGCAGACGAATTCAACCTGGATCTCCATGGGTCAGCTAGGTCGGAACCGAAGTTGGTACCTATTTGCCATGCACTTATCTTCGTATTATGCATTCCCAGCAGCCATTGTGAACAAGCAATCTGCATTTTTTTGTTTTCTTACGAGAAACATAGAAGCTGAACATACAGGGAACGTGTCAGTAGCCTGCTCTAACATTTCCATGGAGTCACTATCAAGAATGGGTCTTAAAAAATACAGTAAACTACAGTTATAACAAACTCAAAGGGACTACTAATTTTAGTTTGTTATAACCATAGTTCGTTATCAGCATATAAACAGCATAACTACAGCAAATAGTCGGGACCAAAAAGTAAGTTGGTTATATCCGTCAGTTCGTTATAAGCGTGTTCGTTATAACTGTAGTTTAGTGTATACAGCAAAACAGGGATTAGAACTATATATCTTTGTATTACAGTATTTATTTTACACTATTAATGCTAGATGCAAACATTTTGGAAATATCCTTCCAAACAAAATAAGTTTGTTCAAATTGCAGTTGTTATGTTCACACTGAAATCAAAGACCAAATAACTTTTGATCTAAAGCAGGTTCAAAATACAGAGGTTTTACATCAATTAATTCCACACATGGGACTCTGCCTATTCTATAAACTAATACAAACGTTGCCTGAAATAGACCGATCATATACCCGCTGTGTGAGTGAAATATCTGCCTGTGGTGTCCATGTCACCTGCTATTCATTACATCACTGTCACCACCCTGTCAGTCAAAGGTGAAATCAACAACATGCACAGCTATCTGTCGTATCTTGACTCAAGGAAATGCCTCCCTTATCAGCTGTGTTGAGGTTTGTTTGAATGCTTTAACCCCTGGGATGATAATATGCATGACCTAAGTCAATAAAACATTAATCACAAATATTTCCAAGGTTGTACATTGCATGTATGATCTGAATATTATGATAACAATTTTGCATCTAACATTTAAATCTATAATTAAAATAAATTTGAGTGTGTTTTGGTTCAAGTTTATACATGATTTGTTTGTTTGCTGTTTAACGCTGCTCTCAGCAATATTCCAGCTATATTACAGCGGTCAGTAAATAATAGAGTCTGGACTAGACAATCCAGTTCATGACATGAGCATCGATCTACGCAATTGGGATATGATTCCCGTGCAACCTTTCGAGTTGAGTTGATTGGTTCAACTGTGTCATATGGCCCTGTGACGCAGGGGTAGCATTATGCAGATGGCTGTTACAATGAATTCTCGTTCCACCCGTGACGAACAGGTCTGGTTGTTGATGAAATATAGTGATAGCTAAATAGACAGATTTTTTTATTCGTGCACCGATTGTCTTTAAATGTAATATCCAGTTATGTATGATTGTTTAATAATCTCATACCAACTTTGACTGGAGTAGGTCCAATAGTTTTTCAGATATTGTAGTAAACGTGTGAGTGTGGTTTAACACCATTTTTCATAGCTTTATTCTAGCCAAATCAAGGGGACACCAACCATGACCAAATTGTACCCACATTGGAATCAAACCTGGATCTTTTGTGACAAGCAAAACACCTAAACCACTAAGCTACCCTTATACAACCACAAGCACTCTTAACATTTAAATTTTTACTTTTAAAAATATCAAAATTTCCTTTTTATTGTTAATGTTATTTAGTTTTGACGTGATATTAAATGTAGTATTTTGAAATTGGAATTTTAACCTGTGTTCTCAAAAACATTAAAGCACTGGTACGAGCTAAACATTTTGCCTTGAGCACAGATAGGGTTAAACTATGACACAGATCTGCATCACAATATCTACATGTTCATCTCTGCCTGGGTTCATCAAAGGCGTTCAGGCAAGTGGAAACATCAAGAGTAACCATCTATCCAGCCAACATTGTTCACATGTAATAACCGTGTCTATCTTGCCTGTTAGTCCCGGAGGCCTAATTTACATTTGAAGGTAAGGACCTACATATTCTTGTCAAATAAGACACCCATCTGTCAACTGTAGACTTCAAATTCAGAAACAGGCTGTATTAACTACACAAAAGCAACAACAAATTCACTGGCTCTTGACAAGATTAGAACTTGATAATAAGCTTTCATTTTTTTAAATCTGACACAAATATTTCTTTCTCTCACTGACCTGCCAGGAATATTAACCAAGCTTTAGTCAAGTGAATTCTGTTACTAATCTCTTACTTAGATCCTTCACACACTGTCTTAACTAAACATAAGAGCGAATTAAACAACCAGGTAAATAACAGTAAACTCCTCACTCATCCCATTGGAAAATGTCAATTGCATATTTTTCTCAAAGTGAACGTCAATTTCAGAAGTGAAATTTACATTTGGCCTGCCAGTGTTTCACAAGGAGAGTGGGGGAAGGAAGGTGCAATGTACATCAAGGAATGTTGTATTAGGGACAGTGACACACACACTGTTTGTTCAGGGCCTGGAGAATTGCTGTGCTACTGTGAGTGTTAAATTAAACAATTTTCTAAACTTGGGGATAATCTAGTTTCAAGTCTTAAACTTTGTTAAAAGTTAAATTTAGATTGCCAGGTTTCAGAGGCATTATTGAACTCGATGAGCTTGTATTTGAAATATGACTTTAGAATATTTGCAAGAATGTATACATGCGTACGGAATGTAAATACAGGTAAATATATCTCAAAATTTAAAATATTTACGAGCAGTTTGACAACACATCAGCAAGGATGGGGGTACAGTAGTTTCATTCTCCATTGTTATGTCAGCATTTGTACAGCAGGTGATAAAAGAGTTTTTCAAACAAGCAAATACAAATTCCACCATGATCAAATTCAGGTTCCTAAAATCCTAACAGCATATTTCAGAGGTCTAAGTTTGTAATGATGCTTCCTTAATGGAAAGTGTCAAATTCTGCTGATGTGGAGTGAAAAGGTCGCCAATATTACAAGCCAAGCTGCAATGTCAGCTGAGTGAAACAAACACCAGCAGGAGTGCCTCTCGAACCTTCAATCACCTTTAACAACATGAAATCGACAAGCAATCAACGACAAAAGGAAATCTACAAACCTGAACTCCGCGATTATTCCATGGTTTCGAAAAGCAGCAAAGATATTTGTTTGCAAGGTAGACAAATTCAGATAGGTCAAAGGAATGAAATGGCCAAGTTTAGGCTCCGTCGCTAAGATAACACAAAAACAACAAGTCAAACATCGGCGAAAATGTCATCAGAGCTGTGTTTGGTTTTACTCAGGAACATCAAACGCACTCAGTTTGGCTTCAGTTTCGCTCAGCGAGGGTTAACACTTTGCACTGTAGGTAGACATACGACAGCTGCAGATGCCAGCGTAATCCTGCTCTGCATGTTGGGACTTACTGGCACGGGTGGGGTTCCGTAAGTCTTTAAACAGTGTGTACATACAAAGCCTCACAAATGAGGAAATTAGATCTTTGGGGTTTACCTTTAAAACACTCCATGTCCTTTGGCAGAGGCTGTGCTGAGAAGGTGGTTCACAGAACAGCTACATATCTATTTCTATGGCAACGTGGATATTTTCTACCTTTGTATTTGTTATTTATGGTATCTTTGCTCAAAATAATATTTTGTTCCCTTTTGGGTTTTGTTTCAGAAAATAGATTTACTTGAGGGTTATTTTCTTAAAATTATTCTGGGTGATCTTTTTTAAAAGAGATTTTTCTATATCCAAACTACATGAGAACATTTTAATTATGTTTGTAATTTTCAATCAAGCATACTTCTCCATCACTTACAAAATGTTTCTAATTCGTTGGAACATTTTTGATAAAAATATATTCTAGCCCATTATATTGACTGATCTAAAGCCCTGAAGTTGGGAACTATATCTGCTGATTCTTTCCAAATTGCATGATTTACACAATCAGACAAATTATTCCACAAGCAAATAATTTGTAACCTGATGTTGGTGTGAATCAACACAGACTCAATCCGTTAGAGCTGCTCCATTTCAAACAAAGCTTGTTTATTAAAAAATCTATCGTGCCATAGCCCCCAAAAGGCCCTAATATATATTTACCAATTGCACTTTTGCATACATTTCAATTTTTTAACCAAAATAGTTCATTCCCATTTTTATTTTAGTATGATTCTAACAAACAACTGATTAATATTTGCATTTGTTATTTAAAATATTTGACATAATTTAACAATTTATCCTTAAAAATGTATCGTTAAGATCAGTGATAAGCCTCAGTCGCTTAAAATAAATACCTGGCTGAAACCTACAGAGGCCAGCCTACATGTGTAGTCATGAAACTTTGTCCATCAGGGGGCACAGGTGGCCCAGTCGTCTAAAGCGCTGTGCAGAGTTGCATCCTCTGGGCACGCCAGAAACCGATGATTATGGGTTCGAATCCCGGTTCGCCCCGATTATGTTTCTAGGTTTGTCAGCACCATACCTATGCTCGTGGGTTTCAACGTAGTGGTAAATGCCTGAGACCTGCATCACTTCGGCCTTTCCTCCCACATTAAGCTGACACGCCGTGATATAACTGGAATACTGTTAAAAGCGGCGTAAAACCCAACTCACTCACTCACTCACTTTGTCCATCAGGCTAAGACCATGCAAAACGACAATGCAAAATAACAATGCAAAAATATCAGAGGATGAAATCCCAATGACATCTTTTTACTCACCAAATCAAGAGATTCACCAATGAGACCTTCCACCATCTTGGAGACATTTTGCCGAACCTGCAGGCTAGTTGATTCTCCTTCGTGGGGGATATCAAAACCTAAAATAAAACAACATAATACATACGTAAAACTGAATATAAAGTTTCCAGCCATCATAGAACAGGCTTCAGTGATTCATGATTACACAGGTTGGTTCAAAATGTGGGTTACATGATCCACATCAAGATACAAAGTTTTCCAAAAGTAGAGGAAGCATTCGTAAAATCTCACTTCCCTGCCTTGTTGAGGGCAAACCTCTGTGACATGTCTTGTCATTGTTTGCTGCTGCAAGTATCGATCTATGGTGAGGTGAGGTGATATTTGGTTTAACATTGCATCCACGATAATTGCACTTATATAGTGACATGCATGCATGTGTGTGTGTGTGGCTGCTTGTACTAGTCTGGACTGATGCCGATTTATAGTGCTAGCTAAATGAGATGACATGTTGCAGTTAAACATGAATACCCCACTCAGACACAGTATACTGACTCCAAGCAGACCAGTCCTTGTTTTAGCCCCTTAATGCCGAGCGCCAGACAGCGTAACAACAAGTAGCATCTTGTAACATCTTTTGGTATGATGCGGCCGGGGATCGAACCCTGGACCTTCCACTCTCCGGGCGGATGCTCTACCACTAGGCCACGGAGGCGGTCTGTATTGATCTATGATTTTTTAATATCTGTGATAGAGCAGTAAAAAAAACAGTAAGTATCCCACATTTTTAATTGCTTTACATCCTAACCATTTTGGGGGAAAAAGAAACTTGAAAATGTTCAAACTTAAATTCATGATAAAATATTTCAATTATTCAAAGGCTGATAAAACAGGATAAATCTGGATGAAACCACGAAGGTGATGATAGCCATTTAACAAACTCCATCAGAAACGATGCTCCTGTCTATTCTACAGCCTAGTTGTGGCTTGATACAGAAGATGATCTGGTTGTTACTTGTAGTTGTGGAGTGTTGTGAGGTGTTCCATGCCTAAACCACCTACTTGTATAACTTTCTGCAGCTTTTCATGTTTGTTATCCTTTCAGGACAGCACTTTCGCCAACTGGTCAGGAATTTATTTCCGCCTTATACTGTATCTGTAATTCTCTGTATTACTATTTACTGTATTACAATTTTTGGGATATTTTTTGCGATGTGATGTGAAATGGGGTTTCACATCCCATCCAAGATTATTGCACATATATAGTGATGTGTATGCACGTGTGTGTGTGTCTGTGTGCGGCTAATGTCAATTTTATAGTGCTAGCTCACTGATATACCATGTCATAGTTTAACATGAATACCCCACTCAGACACAGTAAACTGACTCCAAGTCAACCAGTCCTTGTTTTAGCCCCTTAATGCTGAGCCAGGCAGGGTAACAACAAGTACCACCCTTTAACATTTTTTGGTATGATCCAGGGATCGAACCCCGTATCTTCCGCTCTCTGGGCGGATGCTTTACCACAAGACCACAGAGGCGGTCCAGGAATATTTTATGAAATTTTGTGCTCAGTCTTCACTACACAAACTTCCCCAAAATATTCATGATCCCTTACTTTTTTTGTTCAGTATATATTGACAATGTAACTGGTTTTGATTCTTCATTTCAAAAACACTTGTTTAATTCTTCCAGTTCGTCATCTTTTCTGTCATACTTCACTTATTCTTTCCCCACATAACTATTCATAGGCTTTGATCCATCTCTTGGTTAACTATTAACATACAGTGTTTGTGGGCTTCCTACTCACTTTCATAGGCAAGCTGCAGTCTCTGTGAGAACCCTGTGAGGAGTTCTTTCATCCGACTGCGAAATGTTAACATCGCCTCGCCATCTATAATAAAGAACATTGTGTCATGTTTCTGGCTGAATGTCTATATTCATATTCATATGACATAAACTACTCAAAAGTAGATTAACTACAGTAATATGAAAGAATCCAGTGGTCCTTAAGTTCTTTTGCGTAGTATATTTCTGTATCTGCTGTATCTGGCTTTAACAAACTAATGTCATGGGATTAAACCTGTCCACTGAAACATCACTCGCATCAGGGACTTTACCAAGCTGCGAGCAATTGTGAAATTGTATATATTATGTTCACATTCAGATTTGACAATTTTTGCATTAAATATTACTGTATTCGACGTAATAAGCGTCCACGGCGATAATAGCTAAGATATTGGCTAGTGAACAATCCCAATTAGCACCCCTTCCGCTTGATCAATGTACACAAGACTTTTTTTTTTCGAGTATAATACGCACTCATGTGTCATATGCACCCTTATAATAGGCAATTAAATTATGGACAAATATATCTGTCTTATATAAATACTTCAGGCTCTCAGCATACAACACAAAATTTATCTTTCAACTCTGTTTTTGCCACCAAAATAATATTCTAATAAGAGACCCTATTTCTAATTTTGAGAGCACCCTGGGCACTTATTACATCGAATACGGTACACATTTACAAAATTATGTTAACACAACTTGGTCATTTTGCTGGTAGTCCAATCAAAACCCCAATGATGCTTTATGCACTATAGTGTATTCACTATTTACTAATGTAAAATGAAAATAACACTATTCACCAGCATGTTCACTATTCACGATATGTTTAAAAAAATCACCTTGCTGAAGACTGACATTGTCACTATTCACCAACATTCTCAGATTGGTCACAGACACTCTCATTTTTCATTTCAACTTCACATTCTCACTACCATAGATATTCTCGCAATGCCCAAGTCGTGATGGACCTGGTGTTTAATGTTGGATGACTCACAAGATGTACTCCCGAAGGTGGAGGAGATTCCGGAGGGAGATTGTTCGTCCAGGGCTCTGGTTAGCTCCGCTAAGAGCTGATCAAACTTGGTCTTGAACTTGCTCTCCTCAGCTCTCCGGGCGCTCTCGTATGCCTCCTGGTAGATGTCTGCAACAACAGAGAATAGAGTTCATTTGATCATTCAGATACTCTGCAACAACTGAGACCACAGTTCATTTGATCATTCAGATCCTCTGCAACAACTGAGACCACAGTTCATTTGATCATTCATATCTTCTGCAACAACTGGGAATACAGTTCATTTGATCATTCACAACAACAGTGAATAAAGTTCATTTGATCATTCACAACAACAGTGAATAAAGTTCATTTGATCATTCACAACAACAGTGAATACAGTTTGTTGACTAAGTGTAAGCAGATAGATAGCTATGGGGTGTTACGGCCCATCTTCAAGTCCAATGAGTGTTGCATCCTATAGACACACCAGAAACCTGTGATCGTGGGTTCAAATCCCAGTTCGCTCTGATTGGTTTTTAGGTTTGTCAGCACCATACCCACCAAAGTGGTAAACATCTGAGACCTGCATCACTTTGGGCTTTCCTCCCACATCAAGCTAATACTCTGAGATATAACTGGAATACTGTTCAAAGCTGCGTTAAACCCGACTCACTCACTCAAACCGCATGACCGCCATTTCACTTAGACAATAAGCCGTTGAAATGGAATATTTTACATTTTTCCTTTTCATTAAGATTGATAATACCATTGTTAAGTTCTTAATCCCGAGGTTTATTTTTTTAATATATGTGCATAATGTGCAATCATGTTTGTTTGTTTGTTTGTTTGTTTGTAGTTTAATGCCTCTCTCAGCAATATTCTAACTATATGACGGCAGTCTGTAAATGATCAAGTCAGCACCAGACAATCCAGGGATTGACATCATGAGTATCAATCTACACAATTGGGATACGATGACATGCATCAACCAAGTCAGCGAGCCTGACCACCCGATCTCTTTATTCGCCTCTTACGACAAGCTCAGTCTCCGTTTATGGTAAGCATGGGTTGCTGAAGACCTATTGTAACTCGGATCTTCACCAGTCTGCAATCATGTAAAGTATACAGCATCTTCAGACTGCAGGCACTGGACACTCGTAAGTGAGTCTGATTTAACGCTGCCTTCATCAGACTATTCCAGTTTCCCAAGGGAGACAACTCTTTGCTGGAAACGTATGTGAACCATTCCACATTAAACCCTGCCATTGGCACTCAAATACAAGCAATTTCAAACACTGGATACTTTTAGAAATGTTTTACCTAACAAAATGACAACATGAAAACACATCAGTCAATATTTGGCCAAATTCTCAGGATATATATATAACCCATTTCGAAAGCCTAGGAATATTTTCAACATTAAGATATGGATAGCAAACTGTACCCAATCTATTTATATATATGCCAGATGAGAAAGAGGCTTTTCCAAGATACCCTCATAGATTGGGTGGATCTTTCTTAAGAACAGGACTGTCTTGACATACGTCCATATGATTAACATACAGCCCTGGTCTTTGAAGTGAATGTAATTGCCAGATTGAACTTGGACCTGCCACCACGTAATGGCAACCTTGTATTTGATGAGCTGATCAAGTTTAGGGACTCTACAAGTGACAAGGGTGTGCAAATAGGCTTGGGAATGTTGGACATCTCGCCAAATGTCAAACTGCTATAAAACCCAGAAAAACAAGTCTCTTAAAGCCCAGCGTTGTATGTAACAAGTGACAGGTCTGAAGAAATGTGACGGAAGTATGTGCTAATGATCTGAACATGATATATACAATGATTGACATGTGATATACACAATGAGTGACATGTGATATATATACCTTAAGTGACTTGGGATTTATACAAAAAGTAACACCTAACATATACATTGATTGACATGTGATATATCCTAGAGTCTTATGATATATATATATATATATATATATATATATATATATATATATATATATATGTGACACATCATAAATATCTAGTGATTATTGCAAGGACTGATATTATTTATAAACGAGATACATTGACTCTTGTACAGACAAAAATAGACTTATTATCAGTTGCATTAAACCACCCAAAAGAACTATGATCTTTTTTAAAACAAATCATTCATCAACCTTTTATACTGAAATGCTCTGTTTCATCTGTTCATGATAATTAACATATTGATAAACAAACAAAAATAAAAACTCACATGGCATAAAAATATACTTGCTAAAAGCAAAAATACTAAAATTGTAAATTAAAGGCTAAATATCATAAAAACAATATCATGCTTTAAGTGAAATATAAACTAAAACTGTAAATTAAGAACTGAATATTACCAAAAACTAAAATATGTTTGACTATTAATGACATCAGGATGTTTTACCTTAGAATGCTGTGATCAGCTCCAAAATATTAAATCTCCCCGAAACGATCAACAATATGTGTGTGACCACTGACATCTTAAACTTTCTTACTTTATCAAATTATCATCGCATAGCTTTCACTTTCAGCAAATCTTACCATCCTAAAGCGCTAACGTTGCCATCTGACCCACGGTTTATGACAACATAAAACCCATTTTGTCTTTGCTGAACAGAGAGGTATGTCAGTGGACAAACTTAACTACATATAATGGCATCCATTGTCAAGTTGGTGAAAAATGTTCCTTATTTTTGGCAACAAACATTTCCAAGCATACAGAGTTAGCCATTTTGTTTAGTGAGCAAACAAGTTTATGAGTCGTGCTGGGTTTGACAGAGTAAGACAAACAAAGCCATAAATACCAGGTTATTCTTTAGGGACAAACATATTACACAACAAAAAGTTGATGTATAACACATATGAGGTATTTTTTACTCCACTAATTCTAAAAGAAATCTTTGTTTAACATGTATGCTCACAGAGACTTTGAGGTAAGCGTATATTTAGATATTTTTGCAGTGTAACGTGATTTTTTGGAAGGAGGTTTTAGGTCTGTTTATGCAGCTTACATTCGTTTACACAGGATTTTACTGAAATATTTGGTCTTCTATAAGACTACAAATTGTGAATAGATGCAAATAATTTACATAGCAGGTTCTGGGGGATGCTGAACAGTATGGCTGTGTAAACAGTTCAACGTAATCAAAATTGTAGATTCCATGTTACAAAAGACTGATATTTTTTATGCTGGTATAAACTGTAATTCAAAGTTCAGAGTGTCTGTTTATAATTTTAAGAATACTACCTCTATTACATTTGGAGTAATCCCGCCCACTTCCCCAATTATCTGCATCTGAGAGCCGATTGTTGGAAAGAAGTGAGGTCTCTCACCCTGCACATGCGCAGGAGCATTGAGCAGCAGAACAATATTGTCGCACAACTGATTATGGATAGTTGACAATAAAGAAGACTTTGTTAAAAATCTAAAAATGTGATGACAGCCAAAATACAGGAGTTAGTGTGAGAGAGAGTGAGTGAGCATGGTTTTACACCGCTTTTAGCAATATTCCGGCAATATAACGGCAGGGGACACCAGAAACGGGCTTCAAACATTGGACCCATGTGGGGAATCAAACCTGGGTCTTCGACATGATGACCCAATGCTTTAACCACTAGGCTACCCCACCACCCCGGAAATCAAGTACAGCATGCAACAAGATACTGCCATGTTTCTCCATGTTCATCCTTTTGACCCCAAAAGTTATCACCTATAGTCCCCTGGTCTTAAACACAGACTGAACCAGGTAAATCCCTGTTTTTCTTCGGCTCCATAAATTATCAATTAAATTATCCTATCAAAACAAGAAGTCAAAGTATAAATACTTGCATCTCAGTCACAAACAGTTGAATATATAGATACAGAATATTTAAATGATAACTGATGTCAATATGGAGTTCTTACTTACTCACAGAATAGCATGAGGACATAATATCCTTCTGATCTAGTAAGTAATGAGTTAAGATTTGCTCTGCAGAACATATACCAGCAATATCTGTCAGGGGACACCAGACATGGTGCCTATGGCATGACAAGTTCACACTAAAACCACTTGGCTACAATCCACCCTGATACATTAAGTTATTTTTTGAAGAGTATAAGAACTTTAAAAAATCATTTCAAAACATATCCTTATAATTAATATTTCTAATATTCATCATTTAGTGCCTTAAATGACTTCAGTCCTTGAAGTCTAAACTGTTTTTCTACAAAATTACTGTTAGCGAAATCATTTAGTGATAAGTTCATAAGTTCTATTTGTAACACATGAGAAAATGCAACATGTGTTAATCATATTCTTTGAAAACATCATTCGTAAATGTTTCATAAACAAAATTTACATATAACATTTGACTCCACATCACATCATGTAACTCAAATTCAACAGAAAATTCCTCGTATCTCAAATCTGCCCCTACATTCATGACCCACTTCAAGAATAGGTCAACATGTGAATATTTCAAATGTCCATATATCAGAGAAACATGACCCACCCTGACAGCCATGACACCATTATCATAAAACATATATTAATGTCCACAGAACACTGATAATAATCCAATTATATACAGCCAGTATTCACGTACATTCTCAGAAGTCTTGACATTATTGTGAATAAACGTGGACAAAAAGGAAAAAACTATGAAACAATTCTAAAGATTGGCACATCTGCACATCTTTTGTCTCAAATTCTTTTAAGGAAATTGTCATAACCTTTTGTCTGGATTTTGATCATTTGTATGGTTGTCTTAAGATGCCAGTTCATGAGTGAGTAGAAGTTTACGATGGTTCTAGCAATATTCCAGCCATCACAGAGGGACTTCACATGTTGCACCAGCGTGGGGAATCAAACCCAGTACTTTGGTGTGACAAACTAACGCTTTAACCACTAGGCTACCTACCCTGCTGATGAGAGGCTAATTTACCCTCTTATAAAAATATCAAAAATATAATGATGCATTCAATACAAATACATTTTCAGCTTTTCCTGATTGTATCATAATATATGTATTACATATAAGTAAAATTTAAATGATTTTTCAAAACCAACTTCAAATTACCGTATTCGACGTAATAAGCGCCCCGCTCTAATAAGCGCCCACGGCGATATTTGCTAATATTTGCACCCCTTCCGATTGTTCAATGTACACAAGACTTATTTATTCGCGTATAATACGTGTGCTATATGCATCCTTGATAATAGAAATTAAATTCTGGAAAAATATATCTGTCCCATATAAACATTCAGGCTGTCAGCATAAACCACGAAATTTACGATCTTTCAACTCTGTTGTTTTTCACCAAAATAATATTCTAATAAGAGCCCCCTATTTCTAATTTTAAGAGCACCCTGGGCACTTATTATGTCAAATACGGTAATCCTGATTCTATTTATCTTCTTACATCTTGATCTATTGACGAAATTCTGCTGAACAAGAAAACAATCCAACAGTTTAAACATATATCAAGCATTAACATCATTAACTTTTTTCAATTTGTTTTACTCATACAACTAATATTATACTAAACATTTGATAGGAATAATCAGATACAGTAAACTACGGTCATAACAAAACTCAAAGGGACCACTAATTATATTTCATTATAACCGTAATTTGTTATAAGCATATATACAGCATAAATACAGAAAATGGTACGGACAAAAAAATAAGTTTGTCATATCTGCCAATTCGTTATAAGCGTGTTTGTTATAAACATAGTTTCCTGTATGTCATTATGTGAAAAAAATAAACGACTTGTGGTCGTTGTTAATCATACAGTAAAACACTGCAGGGAGAAAAAAACATGAGCGGTGCAGCCCCGAGTGGTTTATTCTCCCTGCAGTGTTTTATTGTACGATAAACAAAAGTAAAATATTTACCTATATTTAAATAATGATGACTCCCTAAATACAATCTGACTTTAGCAATGTCAGACAAGTCCTTCTTATGAACAGGGGGGTTAAGTTTGGTATTTCCTGAATATTCTCAAAAGTTGCATGTGGATTATCTGTACCTTTTCTTCCAATACTGATTGTCATATCTCTCCGACTTTCAGATAAAATTATAAGCATTTATCTGCGTTTCCTAGCTACACCCATGGGGAACAACTAACAAGACACTTCTCTCTCACAAATAACGGCATCCAATTTACGACGTCATCAACTTGTGCGTGCATGTTAGAATTTCCCAAAATGTCATGATAGAACAATGCTTTAAAGTGAAAAAAAACCATGCTTCATTCTTCTTTGTGATTTATTGCATGGCTATCTTGTATTTAAATACACACTGGACATAGAAGAATCAGTTTTGTGTATCATGGAAAGATGAAAATATCGTATCTTACTACCAGACTGTCTCATGTGCTACACATACACCTACTTCTACAACTGAACATACTACTACTACTACTACTACTACTACTACTACTACTATGATGACTACTACTACTACTGGGGCGGTCGGGTAGCCTAGTGGTTAAAGCGTTCGCTCGTCACGCCGAAGACCCGGGTTCGATTCTCGACATGGGTACAATGTGTGAAGCCCATTTCTGGTGTCCCCCGCCGTGATATTGCTGGAATATTGCTAAAAGCGGCGTTAAACCATACTCACTCACTCACTCACTACTACTACTACCATGACTACTACTACCACTACGACCATGACTACTACTACTTTTACTAGAAGATACTACCAAGAAACATTTAATTTCCTAAAGCAAAATTTATGAAAAATTCAACTGAATACATTAGCAATATACCGTATTTGACGTAATAAGCGCCCCGCTCTAATAAGCACCCACGGCGCCATTTTCTAAGATATTGGTTAGTGAACAATCCCAATTAGCACCCCTTCCGATTGATCAATTTACACAAGACTTATTTATTCGCGTATAATACGCACTTGTGTGTTATATGCACCCTAAATTATGGGCATTTAATTCTGGAAAAATATATCTGTCGTACATAAACATTTCAGGCTGTCAGCATAAACCACGAAATTTATCTTTCAACTCTGTATTTTTCAACAAAATAACATTCTAATAAGAGCCCCCTATTTCAAATTTTGAGTGCGCCCCGGGCGCTTATTACGTTGAATACGGTACTTCAAAAGACCAGATACATATTCTTATCAACAGATCAAAACACATCTCACATCCATTCAACCTGATGCAATAAACGTGTTATACATTCCTGAGACAATCTCTCATCAAGTGGCAGTTATTCCCTGCCATACTCTATGCCCTGATTCACACAGATAAATCAGGAGAGAATACAGCTGTGAGTAAGGTGATAAAACAATGACAATGATCGTCAATTTCAACATCAAAGACAATTCTGATATAAACCGTGGTGACATATTCCATACTGCTGGGGGTCAGCGTGTCATATCATTTCATATTCAGTCAGCGTACATTATGATTCACCTCATTACCATGGTGGGAACTGACCAAGTTTAAACGTCGAGGACTGACACCTGCAGTTCGTATAGCATGTATAAATCAGTAGACAGTGAGTAGATCGATAGACTGGACTCTGACAGCAGAATGTCAGAAAAAGTTGATCATATCTCACATGGTTGATAAAGGCCAAAAAATTCATACTTCTAACCTGATCCTGACCAAAACAAACTGATATTTTCCACCAACGACAGAATATTATTTTTATAAAGAAGAAACAGGCTGCAGATGGTGACACACAAGATGAAAAATTGACATGGAACTATTTTGTTACCCTTGAATCTATATGTCAAAAAAAGCCCCCAAAGTTGTTGAACTATATACAGTAAACTACGGTTATAATGAACTCAAAGGGACTACTAATTTTGGTTTGTTATAACCATAGTGCGTTAAAAGCATATATACAGCATAACTACAGCAAATAGTCGGGACCAAAAAGTAAGATCGTTACATCCGTCAGTTCGTTATAAGTGTGTTCGTTTTAACCATAGTCAACTGTAATTACAGATTATTTGTTCAGACAACCCATCAAATAATGTTTTTTTTAGCTTGTCACCTTCATAACATGAATATACATCACACTAATTAATAACATAATGCTAATTGTGTACCAATTCTGGTATGTCAGTGCTAATGTGAGTAAAATGTTTGACAATGTTTGACAATGTACATACTTTTCTGAAACAAGTCTTTGCAGCTTCATTTGTCATTGTGCATATCATTAACTTCACAGGATATTTTCCATCTTTCAATATTTCTGACATAATAACATAAGTTTGATACAATATTTCAAATAAAATTATAACCTCCGTTTATTCGTGCTTTGTCATCATCACAATATCATGCCTGTACATAGAGATTTTATGGCAAGTTCAAATCATTGGTGTTATTAGGGTGTCAAATAATTCTTTGACAATGAATGTTGACTTAACACAATCATCTACATTATTTTTCATTCTGTATTTTCTAAAATTGAATCCAATTAACTGACATTTGTCTAGTTTCCCACCTGTCACATTGCCCACATTTTCCTTCAGTGTCAAAGCAACCTAAACAATACAAATTAACTTGTGTGAAACCTGAATCCTTGAGCATCATGGTAATGGGTACATGTCATGGCATTTTAGAAAGAAAAATTAAATCCCTACAAATGATCTAGAATCTACATAATTAAAAGAGGGGATTTTATTTCATTCAGTTAAAATGCTTAAATTACATAAACAAAGACATGTGACCTTTCTATACAGTACACAGAAGAAATAATCCATAAAATTAGTGATGGAGAGATTATTGCTAAATGCTGCATCAGAAATCAGAAGCTACATACTGTGAGAAAATACAGGTAGACGTGTGTTGATAAATTATGGATAAGGGCTGAATACACTATAAACTTGAGTGATAGAGAAGTCTGAGGGAAAGCGTAAATATCTCTGCAAATAAGAATTTCAGGGAAACTGGAAATAATTTATCTGCAAGTAAGTCTGACAAGAGGCAGGGAAGAAGGAGGTATCCTTGTATGATCAATAAAATATTTAAGGAAGTTTCTAATATGACTGCAAATGAGGTTAATAATTAAAGAACATTTCAGTTGTCTGAATAAACAGTAAGAATAATTCATTCAATGGAAAACCCACAAAGAATAACTAATATATCAAAGTATGTTTTCTGGTTATTATAATCAGACCCTTTGGAAACAAGTTTATGAATATTTTACCTCTTGTATCTTTGCGTGGTTTCCCTCTGACTGACTCCGTTTCCCTCGATCTCTTGGTATCAAAATGAAGCAGCCGTTGATCCCTTGTTGTCGAGGTAAGTAATGTCTCCAAGGATGCTGCTCGCGAGACCGGCTTATCAGAAACTGGAGAGCGCGATGATGAGACTGGCAATTCTGTTAGGAAAGACACAAGAAAGAAAATAGTGAAATCTTGTGTTGGTTTCAAGTCTAGGATTGGGTGATCATCCAAACTATCAATATTTATTTGTGACAGGTTCGCGGACTGCAACCAAACATGAACTGAGAATGCCGGGCTCGGTTGAAGCAGAGCGACACCGGAAATGGTGAATCCTTGAATCAATCAGAGGACTTTTTGCAAATGTTGCAGAGTATCCTCAGAAAATTAGAATACTCGCCTTGACTTTTTAGCATTCATCGTCTTGTTAACTTATTGCTGACATTTTAGACATTTTGATTACTGAAATAAAATAGATTCAGCTCACAAATAATGTTTTTGCAACAAATCTCAATGTTAAAAGCATGAATAAAAACTTCAGTGTAAAAATTATTTATCAGATTTATGATTTTTTCTTGTCAGAAGTAAAACTCATTTGCCACATTTTTTTAAAACAAAAGGTGTTCACCTGGGAACCAAAATCATAAATTCATGTTTAGGAATATGGTGGTATAAACAGATCTGATAATTCAAAATAAGCATTCAAACAAATAAATCATTTACAGACACATATAAATCACTTACAAACACAAATAAATCATTCACCAACACAATCATCTAATCCAGCATTATGGTTCACTTGAATCCAGACACAAAGATTAATGAATGCAATGCAAGAGCATCAAACATGTGGCCCTGCAAGACACTGATAAGCATACTGTATAACTTGCATCCCCAGGCAATTCAAACCAGACCAGTAAACCTCAGTCGATCACTGAGTGCAAGTGGACGCATTGTGCCTCACAAATACATTGATATTTATTCCGATTGAGAGACGTTAAAACTTTAAATTTGTTCGCAATGGAAACCAAAGGGGAAAGAAGACATCCCTGGCAAACACCAGTGGAACACGGATGTTAACGTTTTGTGTAAAGGTGGCAACTGGAGACCATCTTGTTGTTAATCAACAAGTAGGGGGAGGTCCTTGCACACGACTCAATTCACATCATCATGGTAACAACAGGTGACTGTAAACAAATACCATGCACCTCAAGCAAGAAGAGGTTTAAAGCTTGCTCTGGTTTTAATCGCACCTGCCCCCTAACCATCAAGACAAGGGTACATGACTTAGGAGACATGTACCCCAGAAAAACATTTTTACCTGCAAAGACATTTTTGCCTAGACATTCTTGTTTCAAATTAAGGAATTTCGTTTACAAGGCACAAAAAGTCCAGAGGTGTAAGGTATCTTTCATTATATGTAAGAATAGTTAGTAAGGGTATCACATACTTGACTATGGTTAATATTTCTATTTCCTGAATATATAATGATTTGACTACAACTTATAGTGATGAAGAACATTATTCATCCCCTTGCTGAAACTCAGATAATTGTTTATTCAACACTTCACACAATCTTATCCAAGCAAACAAAGAAAACTTTCCACATAATACTTGTTGGTTGCATGCTAAAACCCACCTCTTTAAAAATTTATTTGAAAACAAAAATATGCCTTATGCTTGCCAGCTGTCATGAGACATAGCCAAGCATTAAATCTAGTGTAATCCCTTTCCTTATGGTCAGAAACTGAAAACATGGCCCACCGCCATGCACTCAATACATGATATTTATCCTGAGGAGATGACTGTACTGACCTTGGACAGCAAACTAGTGGCCAAAGAGGTAAACATCTACCAGTGCTGTACTCAGGCCTAGGACAGGCAAACTGGTGATTGATAGGGTGAACATCTACCAGTGCTGTACTCAGGCCTAGGACAGGCAAACTGGTGATTGATAGGGTGAACATCTACCAGTGCTGTACTCAGGCCTAGGACAGGCAAACTGGTGATTGATAGGGTGAACATCTACCAGTGCTGTACTCTTGCCTAGGACAGGCAAACTGGTGATTGATAGGGTGAACATCTACCAGTGTTGAACTCTCGACTAGGACAGGCAAACTGGTGATTGATAGGGTGAACATCTACCAGTGTTGAACTCTCGCCTAGGACAGGCAAACTGGTGATTGATAGGATGAACATCTACCAGTGTTGAACTCTCACCTAGGACAGGCAAACTGGCGATTGATAGGGTGAACATCTACCAATGCTGTACTCAGGCCTAGGACAGGCAAACTGGTGATTGATAGGGTGAACATCTACCAGTGCTGTACTCTCACCTAGGACAGGCCAACTGGTGATTGATAGGGTGAACATCTACCAGTGTTGAACTCTCGCCTAGGACAGGCAAACTGGTGGGTGATAGGATGAACATCTACCAGTGCTGCACTCAGGCCTAGAACAGGCCAACTGGTGATTGATAGGGTGAACATCTACCAATGCTGTACTCAGGCCTAGGACAGGCAAACTGGTGATTGATAGGGTGAACATCTACCAGTGCTGTACTCAGGCCTAGGACAGGCAAACTGGTGATTAATAGGGTGAACATCTACCAATGCTGTACTCAGGCCTAGGACAGGCAAACTGGTGATTGATAGGGTGAACATCTACCAGTGCTGTACTCTCGCCTAGGTCAGGCAAACTGGTGATTGATAGGGTGAACATCTACCAGTGTTGAACTCTCACCTAGGACAGGCAAACTGGTGATTGATAGGGTGAACATCTACCAGTGTTGAACTCTCACCTAGGACAGGCAAACTGGCGATTGATAGGGTGAACATCTACCAGTGCTGTACTCAGGCCTAGGACAGGCAAACTGGTGATTGATAGGGTGAACATCTACCAGTGCTGTACTCAGGCCTAGGACAGGCAAACTGGTGATTGATAGGGTAAACATCTACCAGTGCTGTACTCAGGCCTAGGACAGGCAAACTGGTGATTGATAGGGTAAACATCTACCAGTGCTGTACTCAGGCCTAGGACAGGCAAACTGGTGATTGATAGGGTGAACATCTACCAGTGCTGTACTCAGGCCTAGGACAGCAAACTAGTGGCCCAATGGGCATACATCTACCAATGTTGTACTCTGACCTAGGACAGCCAACTGGTTGTCAAATGGGCGAACTTCTACTAGTGCTGTACTCTGACCAAGGACAGGCAAACTGGTGGTTGATAGAGTCAGCATCTATCAATTCTGCTTGAGTGGAGTACAAAGTCAGATCAAAGGGTAACAACTGAGATGCTGATCAGCAAAATATTACCCGTATACAGCATCTTGACAACCATGGACAAGAGAGGGCAATGAGGAGAAGACATTGTTACTATAGTTACTATAATGGCACAATGGCAATGAGGGTTAACAATCACTGTTATGGCAAGGTCTTATTCTGGTGCACTATATTGTATTTGACAACATCACACCATCATCAACTGGCAATGAGGCACATTGCACATTTCAACAATACGATCATCCAAAACTTTAATTCCACTAAAATGATCTATTATTACAATAAAACAATTATTAAAAAGATGAACTGCTAAGAATCCTTCAGTTGGAGTAAAATTTTGCCACAGTGTTGAAGAAAAAACACATAAAGATCCTGATGACATATTCCTAAAAACTAATGAATAAATACAGAAAATACCTCACTGACTTGTAAATATATGAAATTAACCTCAAGAGTGAGTGAGTGAGTATGGTTTTACGCCGCTTTTAGCATTATTCCAGCAATATCACGGCGGGAGACACCAGAAATGGGCTTCACACATTGTACCCATGTCGGGAATCGAACCCGGGTCTTCGGCGTGACGAGCGAATACTTTAACCACTAGGCTACCCGACCGCCCCTTCACCTCAAGATAACAATACATAAACAACAGACATTTACAAGGTAATAAGGACAAAATCAGACAAAGTCTCCTCCAATAATTAATCAACATGACATCACTCCAAACATCTGAAATCCTAATTCTTCAGTTACACACATAATTCTAATACACCATTACTTAGAGACATACTTCCTAATCAGTTAATCCTACCTAAATCCCCTGTAATCCCTGACCCCATTACCCATATTTCGTACATACCTGTCGCCCATGTCCCATGAATGTCAACATAACCATAACAAGTCTCCTACACCTTTCCTGCTTTGATCCTACGGTAAACAATCTTGGAATTTCATGTACAAATGGCTACCCCCAAATCCCCTCAAATCACATTCTTCGCCACACTTATCATGAGATTTCAAAGCAGCGGCAAACAGATTTGCCACCAAATGGCTCCACTGTCAATATTTTTGCGAGAATCTTATTCAAAAGATACACCATCTTGGTTTCAATGTGTGTTTACTTACGTCCACATCATTGGATTACCTTGATACAAAAATATGATGGAGAAAAATGTACCTACGCGAGATGAAGACTGTGGAGTCTCTGTTTCAAAAAAAAAAATTGAAAACCCAATGGTGTGTTCTTAATGCAATAAAAAAAATGAGATAATGTTTTTAATTTTTTTTTTTGGCTGTGTTACATTTCGTCGTTAAATGAAGATTCTTTCAGTCAATGAAAGATGTTAAAATGCAAGTGGGCGTCCTTATCACATACTTGGCAAGTTATTCAGAATATTTTGAGTTATACGACCATAGAATGCTTGAGAACACTCCTATTTGAACATAGATAAGGTTTGTTATTAATAGCATGATGATATTTTTTACATAAAACTTAACAAATACAGAAGTGGAAATATTCTCAACACTCTCTCAATAAACCTTCACATAATCATTATGATTTGTGAGAGCAGTTCTTTGGTGAACCTGCTTTTGTGGACATATTATATTCATGTGACAGAGATGTTAGTGTGATTAGCAGTTCTACTCAGCTCTATAAGGAACAAACTCTATCCTTTAAGGATCAGGCGTTTAAACAAATATTCAACAGTTATCAATTTTACAGACAGTAGTCATATATGTTTTAATAAATACATTTTCTTTTGATATTCCCAGCCGAATCAAGTTGTAGACACATGTCGAAGTCAGCAGTATCGCAGCATTATAGGAACGAACATGAACAATTATCCACAACATTTCTGTACAGTGCAACACAA